GAAATATAGAAATTATTTAGCACTGAAATAACGTCTTAAATTGTATTTTAATATCTTTTGCCCCACTGTGTGCTGTCGCACACAATTTTGTAATTAAGCAACTTGACCGCAGCCCAAAGTTTTGCACTTTTTCGCCAGGGCATTAGCAAATTTACGCAAATGAAGGCAACGTAATTGTTTTTGTGTGGCAGTCTTCCCAGTCAAGGGTGCATAACATGTTTGGGGATAAGGATGTGGCTGTGCCTGTAGCCTTAGCTGTTGATTGCTATCTATCGGAGCCCTCTTCATACCCACTTCAAAGTATCAAATGTTGGCGTGCTCTTGTCAAATGCAAAAGACGCTATCAAAATGTCAAAACTGTCGAGCCAATTGGCCCGAAAAGCTACATTTTTTATGCTTTGTTTTCGTTCAGCAGCCGCAAAAACTAAACGCTAAAACTTTTCATAAATAAATTATGCCGGAAAATGTTTTTCCCTTTTTTCTTGTTGTTTCTTGTTTCTTTTTTTCTTTGTCGATGCTGATGGTTGCCGGCAAACGCCAAAAACACAGCGTATGATTGCCTTGAGAGCGACTGCCACTCAAACTGTAAAAACAAGAGCACCAACAAAGAGAAACGAAAAGAGTCAAAAGAAAAACGCTTATCTGCAATTGGCTTAATAAAATATACGAAACATATTTAAATTTCCCCAAAGGCAACAAGTGCCAAGACGCAGTAAGGGTAGAGCAGAAAGCGACTCTACTCAACTCAGTTCAAATGGAGTGAAGTCAAGCTGTGTCCTGTCTGTTAGCCTTTCTTAATATCATACACACAGCAACGATAAAAGGATATGTCAATTTTGGTAAGCGGACAGATAGAAAAAAACACATCTCAGATGCCATTTTAGAGATACTTTACCGAGACAGTAGCAATGTCCTGATATAGTTTTATTTTTTATTTTTATTTAAATATGGCTAATCTAATACTACCTTAGTATCCGTAGCTTGGAGAAATGTTTAAATATGTTCGACTTTTTAGATATCAATCTTCGGTCGAAACATTTATCAATTATTTTTAAAAATTTATTTAGATAATTCGTTTTCTCGTTCGTATTCTAAAATCATTAAAATCTGGCGGTTTTAATTATTAAACAATTAAACACAATTTTTATTGGAAAAACACTTCCTTTGCACAAAAAATATTACACATATGTATTAATTGATGAGCCAAAGAAAAACACATTTTAGAAATTCTTTACAACTAGAATTCCTTATAGGTTGAGCAGAGTGTTTTTATTTAAAACTGTCCCTCGTGAACAATCATTAAATTGGTTAAATAAACTTGACAATTAATTTATTTCATTTATGATGAGGTTGTAGTATCCGGCTAGTCCCAGGGGAGGTCCAGAGGATGGGTCCTGAACAGCCTCCTGGTCCGTATTTGAATAGTTGATACCGCATAACGGATATTGTAAGAGTTACAGCGCATTTCATAGCCATTGCAATAGGACCACAGATTTCGTCCCTGTTGTTGTTTGAGTAGATTGTTTAGTTTGGCGTTGTTTGCTTATGCGGGTGGCAGTCAAATACAAACACAAATAGCAATGGCGCACAGAATGTATGTAGAAATTCATACTCGTATGCAAATCAAAGTTATTGTCAAGCCAAAATTGTCTACCGATGCGTACAATTGAGTGTCATATTTCGAGTTTGTTATGCATACAGCAGCGGCACACACTCACACGCACTCGCACTTCCACTGCCAATGCCATTGAGACAACGGCAACATGTGCGGGCCAACTTTTGCCAAAACGACAGAACTCAAGGCATGCCAAAGTTTTGGCTAGCCTTTTCTTGCTTTACTGGATCTCTTTTCTTTATTCTTTTTCTTTTTTTTTTGTTGCTCTTCTTACTTTGCTGCACACACACACACACAACTTGTTATCATTGTTGCGTGTCTAAAAGCCAATAGAGAATGAAAACTTTTCCAGCAAGTGTACAACAACATAAACATTTATGCACGCGGACAAATGCTGCGCGCTGTCAGGATTAACATAGCAACAACAACTACAAACAAGTTGGAATAAAAAAGTGTAGCATACACACAGGGGCAGGCACAAAATCGCATGCATATGAGCGTTCGAGCTCGTGTGTGTGCAATCAACCGTTATCAAATTTTAAGCGTCATGCAAAAACTTTTAAAACTTCTACCTTTGCCCTTTTTACGAACCATCAGCGCTTTACAAGGCTTTTTAAGTATTTATGGACGCTGTGCGGCGGCCAGGCCGAGGGTCGAAGCGGTGTAGGGGCAGGACACGCTCTTTGCTGTCATAACTGCACGGCCAAATGAATATAAATAAATGCTTCATATGCGTGCATATGGGTATATGCGATAAAGTGCTGGCATAAACGCATGCTTTATGCATAATTTAAAACATTTTTACGCGCAACTCTTGCTTCCCTGCCAGACAACGCACAAGACATAAGCAACACTCAAATGGGCCTTGACGATTGCCAAGTAACTTATATTGGCATAGTGGTAGGAACAGCAGCAGCAGCAGCAGCTCAATCAAGAAATGACAGTTGCCAGCTACATTATTAAATATGCACGTCAAAGTGGACACGCACTAAACGTGTGAATGCGCTTAATGTTTACGGTTTACTCATTCGTATAGTATGGTGGGCATAATAGTTGGTTAGATCACTCAGATACTTAGCAAAAATAGATATAGGTACATATTTAGCTATTGGGCGATGTATAACTATTGTTTTATTATTCTCTCTCTGCAAATAAGTTTTGGTCTAGCAGCTTCCCTTGATGTGAAAATGTGGGCTTAGATAAATGTATTTTATTTAATTGAATACAAGTGCAATATTCACGACCGACCTCAGACCTCCATCTAACTTTTTGGTGCATAAATTACGACTACAAAGCTACAACTAATGCTAACACCGATAACATTTCTGTCAATGTCCTGTACGGTTAAATTCTCACCTCTTTCCTATCTCACATCTATGCTAAATTACTTCGCAAAAGTATTCGGCTTAAATGACTATTCAGATAGTCTATAGTTTTTATGTCTGCAGGTTGCTGATATCCTCACACACAGGGAAATCTATGTTGATTAACTCTGTTAAGATAAAGAAACTTAAATAAATATATTTATAATATTAATTTCGATAAAATTGCTTAATAACACACAGCTGCATTAAATTTGTTCACTCTCTGCTTGGTAAGCTTAAATGGTACTTGGCTTTAGCTGAAATGGGAGCTATTTTTGTATTCATTTTTTATACAATCTTGGCTAAGATCATGTTAACACTTCAATGAACAAAAAACAAAGCTACTTTTCCATACCATGTCATCATACAAGACGGTGAAGCCTAATTATTATTTCTACATAAATATACATTATTCTCATGCGTAACTCGCTGTAACACCCTACAGATAATACAAGCCCAAAACTCTCGACCACAGAATATTTATACACAATACAAGCAATGTGTACAAAATAAATTAATTCATGCCCGCTGGTGCTTTGCGATACCTTTAAGTCCATTAAAAATCATTTTGATCAATGTGCGCGCACATATTGCGATTTTCTCACAATTAGCATTTTTTCTGCCCACTCTCTCACACAGACATACAGACACAGCCCAAAACAGCCCAAATACAGGGCAACTGGGCTACAATACAAATACCAAACAAAAAGGGAGGGAAAGAAATAACCAAAGCATTGAAGCATTTTTCAAAAAATTTTAAATTCATATACGCAACAAACGTGAAATGTTTCGCGAAGCGTACGCTCCAATAAAAAACGAATGCAAGAAAAATACGTGCAAATAAATATGAGCGAAAGGGGAGGGTGAAAGCGGTGGGAAATCCCTGAAACATTGGCCGTCCCAGCGAAAAAGAATGAAATAAAAATATGGAAACACCTAAAAGGATTCAATTATTCCCGCTCGTTACACAACAAAAAATAACACCATGCGCCAAGGAAAAATAAAGGAGAAAGAAGGACACAATGCCTCAGAGTTGATTATAGTCGACAATGCCATACCCTGCTCTTAGTTTAACTCAAAAAGATTAACGAAATTGATTCGAACAAATATATCGTCAGCTGGTTGCTAATTACAACGATTCCTTTCAAACAATAGGTGCCAATACATCGTTCATATATCTTCTTCAACCTTAAAGATTGGCATTTCAGTCAAGTATTTAACATATTTAACATATTGAACAACAAAATGAACAAAATTTCCCAAATATTGCAGTTGTTCTTTAAACGAAAAATGCTTACGTTAATGGAAACCTTTTGATTTTTGGAAATAATTCTTTGGTACTTCACCCCATGTGCCTTGTTTGTGGTCAGCTTTAGGGCATAAAAATGGCGTTGCCAAAAAAAGCAGTACGCGCATAAAAGTATGCAACAAAAATCGCTTACGGCATATAAAGTACTCTGAGCATATGCACGCGCATAAATCGAGTATGGGTAGATAGGGATGGCTGTGGCAACAGCACCAACGGCTACGGCAATAAAAGCAAGCGGCATGTAAAAAGCACACCCACATTTATATGCATTGATTGCCAAAGCAATGCAAAACAAACAGAGGCTCACACATACTCGTACATGCAAGCAAACGGCCACATGCAGGTGGCCATTGTACCGCATTCGTGTCACAGGCGAGTTGAAGCATTGATTGAAAAATAATATTTTAGCATGCCAATTGCAACTACAAAAAATATCATCTACATACTACATACACACGCATACAGCAATGGTTGATAGCTGGCAGCGAAATTTTACAAATTTCATTGCATACAAGCAGGCGCGCTTGTCATAAAATAGCACGCATACGTCATGTGTGGCAAGAATGTGTGTAAGTGCGTGTCTGTGCACATGCATACGTAAATATACTTATTGCGACTGCAATATGCAAATTATTGAAATTTTAAAAACCCAACACTGATGCGTAATTGTTGCAAGAAAAAAATAAATTCATTTGTCTCTCTTTTTTTTCAGTTCTGGGAAATTATCTCCGATGAGCATGGCATCGATCCCAATGGTTATTACCATGGCGAATCGCATTTGCAACACGATCGCATCGATGTATACTACAATGAGGCCAGTAGCGGCAGATATGTGCCACGTGCTGTCCTCATCGATCTAGAGCCTGGTACCATGGACTCAGTGCGTCAATCACCCATGGGCCAACTATTTAGACCTGATAATTTTGTTTTCGGTCAATCGGGCGCTGGTAAGCTAATTACTTATAATTAGTATTATTATTTATTATTATTTTATTCTATTTATTCAGACCCATTGGCTTTTTATTTGAACAATCAAAAGCTGATAACTTAACAATAACATTTAATTTGTAAAACTATTAGGTATATTATGTATGTTATTTTAAGAATTTTTCTCCCTTGGCATATTTCCATATAACGTTTAGCAGATATATAGAGCCTACTAGTGCTATTATTCTAAAACTCTTCATTTTTTTATCACTACTTTTTTTGAGTGTCTTCTGTAGAAATGTTCTGTACCAATTTATGATGGCCACCTCGACTGAGTGATTTTTCTTTGCCCATTTTAAAATCACTTTCATAGCAGATGACTTGTCAAAATACTACGCTTTTTAGTAATACTCTTTTTTATAGTTTTGTAGTTGATGCTACTTTTTACAACTTTTTAATCAATAATACAATACTGGAGAACCGACAACTAGTTCACAAAAACGAGAAAATACTTTTAGTTTAGGATATTAGGCTTAGCACTTCCTAATCCTATATATTTTGAATAGATGTATTCCATGTATTGTAAATCTCAATGAATTTTTAATGTTTAGGCATTCATAAGACACTTGTTCCCAATCAAAGTTTCTTTAATTTTCAATTTTTTTAATAAATAAAAGTACACACGATTCACACTTTTCACATTTTCCATGAAACCTATACCAATCAACCGACTAAGGATAATACTATTTTTTTCATGTGTTGAATTAAAAGCTTGGATATTTTTTTGATTATTTAAAATAAGACTTTTTTGTTAATGTAAACGGTTGCGGGCCTTTGGCCTAAAGCAATTATTTGTGAACTAATGTCTCAAGAATATATAATATATATTATTAAAAGAGTATTGCCAAAATGAATTTCGTAAAAGTAAATCTATTAGACAATTTTTTGAGTCTTCAATATTTAAGCGCCAGCACTCGTTAAACCCATAATACAATCAAAAACCTTTGCTTAGTAGTATATTATTTTCAATTCAACACAAATATACAAACCACTCACGTTTTAGTTCAAGTACTTGCACATACTCATACTTGTATATCTCACGAGTTTAGTGAACAGAAAAATTTAAAATCTCTTAGTCTGTGTTTCTTTCGCATTTCGGACATGTTGGTGCATGTTCTAGTTAAGCCAAGAGCACATTTTGAGCCTTGGGACTGGCATTGGTTTTAGTTCCATGTCATGACATGAGCGTGTCGCCATTTTCCATTATTTTTTGTGTTGCTGAATTTTGTGTGCTGCTGTCGCTGCCCCATGGTGTTTTCACTTGTCGTTGCTTTTAGGCAGACGAGTCGTTGTTGCAGCTGCAGCGCAATGACAATGTTGCAGGAACAGCGACAATCAAAGCAGCACAACAACGACAACAACAACAGCAGCAGCAGCAATAACAAGCAAAGCTGTTGGCTGTTGTCATTGCTTTGATAAGTACAAACAAGACGCACTGTCCTGTGCCTTATTATTACAGCATAGCTGATAAGCTAAAATGGCGAGTGGGAGTGGCGGCGATGTGAATGGCTGTGTGGTTGAGTGGTTAGTAGGTTGGATGGTTGGATGGTTCGTTGCCGTTATCGTTGCTTGATTGTTTGATATGCACAGTGCTGCTAGTTATTGTTGTTGCTGTTGTTGTGGTAATTGCTGGCGCCGACGTTGTTGCTGTCGCTGCTTCCGTTGACGATGATGATGATGATTGCAATTATAAAATGGCCTGCGGATGACGATGAAAATTAATTTTGTACATGTCAGCTGGTCGCGCATTGCTGTTGTCTTAACGCTGCTTTTGTGTGGGTGTGTGTATGCCTGTGTGTGGGTGTATTTGGCTTATTTTAGCTTCTACTTGAGTGATTGTATGTGTGAGTTCTGCCCGTTGATTAGATACGTAATTGCATATGTATGTACTAGCCTAAGTGACAGGCCACAACATAAACATAGTCATTTGCACTCTCTCACACCCCCCACTATACTCGAATACTTACCTTTCTCTTTGCAGGCAATAACTGGGCCAAGGGCCACTACACGGAAGGTGCGGAGCTTATCGATTCGGTGTTGGAGGTGATACGCAAGGAATCGGAAGGCTGTGATTGCCTGCAAGGCTTTCAATTGGCCCATTCATTAGGTGGCGGGACTGGCTCTGGCTTGGGCACTCTCCTCATATCGAAGATACGCGAAGAATATCCGGATCGCATCATGCTCTCATTTTCTGTGGTGCCATCGCCCAAGGTGCGTAGCCAATGGCAATGCCAAAAATAAAAGCCGCTTAGAGTGCAGACTGAAATTGCGTAATTAAAGCAAATCAGCTTAGGCGGCCGCGCACAACACAGCGCTCACTCGCACATATCCACACGCACGTACTCACACACACACACACACTCACTCACACACTCGCACACAATTTAATGCATGCAGCTGATGCGACCCTAAGCTGACCGCGCGCCTAAAAGCGCTTTACACCTGCACGTTACGCATTTTTGGCAAATTAGCGCACAGCTGAATTTTTGTTTGACCCCCTAATGCTAAAGACAAAATGCCCAATTACATGCGAGGGCCGCACTATAAATAGTACTTTGTTGATATACGAATTTTGTTTTGTTGTTGGCGTTGTCATTATTTCATTCTAATTTAAAAATGTATCACCAAATAGCGAAGAATCGTTATAATAACATAAATTTATAATTTCTACAAGTCGATTAATAGTTGTTGTATCCATTTACTTTTCGTATCAGCCGAAGAAGCTATTGCTTATTCTTATCTTATTAGCTAAGCCTTCAGCAACTAATCATGTTACCACTTATAGCTTGACATTGTAAAGGCTAATTCAAAGACTAATCCATGCTCAACTGGAATATAACAAAGCTGTAAAATGTAACATATTTCTATTTTAACTATGTCCGTGTAAATGGAAATTAGTTTAAATTAAAACTGTTTGGTCCAGCCTCGTAGTGCTGCACGCATGCCTTAAATCCTAAAAACATGCCACACATTTTGCTTTGTATTCATAATTTATTCGGCCAAAATTCAATTGGCGGCTTTGTCGCGCACAAACAGCAAACGGCATTAGCAAATAATTCTAATTAATTTGCCGCTGACTAATTCCAGCACGTGCACGGGCTAATTGGCAGAGTGCAATTTTAATGCAATTTATTGAGGGTCTGTGAGAACTCAAAGTAGTTTTTCCTGCCGCCTTGGTGCATGAAATACGCTAGAGTCCTTGATTTGGTTTTTTTAAGGGGTCTACTCGTATATTGTTTGTTGTTATTTCGAGCTAACGTTGCGACGTTTTCCATTCGCACGCTTCAATTGCTGCTTAATTAACCCAGTTGCATATTTTACATGACACGTACACACACGTCACTCGCTCATTTGCATTATAAGCATTATGCGTATTTAATTACATTTGGACATTTAATTAAATTAATTCAGTGCAAAATTGATTGTCAATAACAGGCACAGCCCAGCGGCTCTCGTCGCTAATGGTTTCATGTTTAATGTTGAATTTAATTGCACCACAAGCGAACAAATATAAAACTAGTCTGAAGGATATAGCACGTGCAAAAAATGATATAATAAGAAAAAGGAATATGGATGTAATGTCGCACAGTGTTATTTTTTTTAGATTGAGCTTGTCGTGGAACACAAGGAAAGCAATCTAAACAAGTATTTACGAAGGTTATCAAAGGACTTTAGTACTCAACATGAGAAATAAATGCAATAAATCGGAGCTAAAAATAAAATAATTATGGATAGAAAACGTTGTCAAAACATACAAGGCTCGCGAAGTTTTATAAATTATAGCTAAGTGCTGAACGTGAGCTACGCAAATAAAGGCTAAACATTATTTTTCAGACATATATGTACCTCAGATATTCTTAAATGGAACATATTTCTTTAAAAATGTTGTTTTTATATAAAAAACTGATACATTTTTATTAAATAAATGAGTCAAAGTCTCCAATGTTACATAATTTTGTGTAAAGTCTTAATGAGTATAATTAGCGTTTGATTTCTTTGCCTCGTCCGGTCAAATTCTTCTCCATTTGACAACAAATCCAATTTCACTTACAAGTATGTAACGAATTTCTATCACTTAAGCAGTTAGAAGTACGCAGAATATTCGTAAATCATATTAAACATTTTTTACTAATCATCAACGGAAACCCAAGCTATATACTTGTATGAATGAATATAAAATTGTACTTTATAAAAACTATTAATATCTTTAGCAACCAAAAAAGAGAATATTTTGATATTTGTTTATCCCACAGTTAGATGTGGTTAGGAAGAAAGACTTCCAGAGTATTCACATACTAGTACGAGTTTGCTTTAAAAATGAACTCATTACTTGTTCTAAAGATATTTAATATGAGCTTAAAATTACTATTCTTATTCTTCTAGATAATATTTGAATTTATTATGAATATATACTTGTATATTCTACATTTATTTAGTAGTTGTATTTACAACATATTAAGAAGTATAGTTCTCAGTCTACTAAAAAAATAATATATTAAATACCGAATCAATCAGTTACACCTCTACAATATTTTGAATGCAATAAATTATTTTGGCAACATTTCAGAAATATCTCTATGTACATTTATATATATCGAAAATCACTTGCAATTACTTAACATATGCATATATGTCTATAAATATAGCAATTTAAATTGTCAAGTAAAATATAGACATCTTGAAAGCAGGAAGAAAAACGCACTGAAGCTTGAAATTAGCATTTGACATACGAAATAGTGCGTGTCAATGTGTGTGTGGGCTCAATAAATTTTATGGCATTTTTAGTTAAACTCAAACCCAGGCGGGCTGGCTCCGAGGCACCCACCCACTCACACATGCCCTTTGTTTTGTGTTAAATTTATTACCGTCACGGTCCAACGACAATGGACAACTATCTCCTGCCTCCATGCTGCACAGGCCCAGGACCACGCTCAATCATGCGGTCGGCCTTGCAGGACTTTCGGCCGTTAAACTTATGCCGTTTCAAATCGAGTCCATTCCCCATTCCCCTTATTTGCTTGTACGAGTGTGTGTGTGCCAGCGCTAACATTTTCCATTTACCATTCTCCATTCCGCTCTAACTACATTTTTGCCGCAGCGCAAATTTGTTGCGGCCCATACCTACAGCTGCTTATCATATTTCAGTGTGGGATTAAACACAAAACGCACATACTCGAAATGAGAGACATTTTTGAAATACAAAAATATTTTATTTCGCTGTTTATCCGCATGAAAAAGACAATTTTTGAACAATAATGTGAATTTTTACCAAACAAAAACAAAAAAAGAGAAATCAACAAAATGTACCAAAAACGAACAGTTACTTCAATTTTAATGTGCCCTGTTGTCTATACCTTTTTTAGTTTTCCTCTACTGTACCAAAAATATGCGTGTGGATACTATTTTGAATTTAATGTGATATTCAAAGTGGTCGGGAATTTGAAATAAATTGGGTATTTCAAAGTAAGGAAGTGCCGTCGCGCTCTGGTCGAGGCGCCACGGCATTGAGCTTGGGTGTGCCAAATAGGCGCTTACGCTTAACTACCGACGAGGTTTTCTCTTTAGAAGGACTCTTTACACTGCCGCCAAGGTGTACATTGGGGGGGATATTTTTTGGAGCTGGAAATCGATCCATTTCATCTGCCGAGAAACTTTTCATGGCCACTTTCCAGGCGTAAATGTGAGGATGTGTCTCTTTCGCAATGTCCACATGAAAGATCGCATTCAGCACATCCAAGTCACGTTTGGTGGGCTCTTTGCCAAAGATGAACAGCTCGTAGGCAGGCTTCACATTTTTGCATGAGCATACAGGCGAAAGGCTCTGGGGCGGCGTCACGAAGACCTCTTCTTCCTCATCGCTGGCGAAATAAGGCTCAGAACGGCAATCATAAAACGGGAACTCCTCATCGCTATCAGCATTCTCCCGTTTATGCCAGGCGGTTAAAGGAATATCCGCCACAATCGCCACGCTGGATAATGAAGTGTGCGCTAAGCCATGTCCAGGCGTATTTGTTGGCACGATCTGAGCACGCAGAGACTCGGCTCGCCTGCGGCGATTCGGCTTGCGATGCTCTTCCCATTGGCATGGACACCACTGCTCCTTCTCCCAGGCAGCTCCACAAAGCTCCTCGGTCTGGAGTGCATCCAGCAGCTTCATGTGCGGCAATTGCTTCAACATTTGAAATAGAGTGCCGCAAACACAATACAAATGTCCAAAGTCCCGCCAGTCGCCCTGCAAATGCAGCAACATGTCCAGCGCTTCGAGCAACTTCCTCATTGTCTCGCAACTCATTTCCTGTGAGTGTATAATGTAGCTGGCCATTAGGTGCGCAATCCTGGAATGTACTTTTGCAAAGTCGACGTCTTTGAAGCGTGCGTCTTCTTTAAAGCTGACTATAAGTGATTTGAGATGCTTAAGCTCCGACACTAGTATGTCATTTATGGAGACCATCTGGCCAATATTATATATCAGTGACTTGGCAATGCGTCTGGCGAACACCTGCAACGATTTCTCCACACATATGTAGGGCCTCATGACCTGGAGAGTGGATGCAGTGGCCGCTGTCTCACTGCCCGAGGGTAACTGTGAAAAGGCAAAGTGATGGTAGAGAGGTACAAAATGATGAAATAGTTTCAGTTTCAACGCATTTTTCAAAAGATGTTACAAACAAAATTCAAAGCAAGTTCTTTATGAGCCCCTCACTTTGGCAGTTATCGAATCATAAGATAACGCCGCTGATCAGACAAAAAATAAGCTCGCGTTGCCTAGGGATTAGGAACCTCTACACTTTACACTTTATGGGGTCGGTTATGCGTCCTTCTCCCTGTTACATATGTTCCACAAACATAATATACCCATTTTACCCTACCCCGGGTGTAAAAATCATACACGGTAACTCCAATCATATTTGGAGTTCCTTTCCCAGCTACATACCTGGAACAGTGTATTCTTCCCAGCTGTATTTTCGCGATCGCTGTTCTGATGGGATTTTTCGGCCAAATAGCTTTCAAGTTGTCGCAGACCTTCGACCGAGGCGATATCCACAAGTATATCGAGAAAGTCCCAATATTCGCGCCATTCAAGATCCTCCTGGCGTGCCAGTTGCCGACCCACCATCTCCAGACCCTTCTCTATGTCCGAATTCTTGATGTGACGTTCACGAAAACTGTCACCCACCATGGTCACAGAAGTATCCATTAAACTGGTTTCTGGCGTTTGTACTTGTATGTCAGTAAATGGCGAGGAGCTGATCTCGCGATATTCGCTGAAGAGCTTCGATTGTTGCTTACGCATAGGCGTTGAGGGTAGACCAAATAGTTGCTTAGCTGTGAAAACTTTCTTTACTTCCTCACCGCCTTTATCAGTGCCTCCATCACACTCCTCCAGCTTCTGGTTACTATCTGCTTGATGTACACTGAAGCACAAGCGACGAGCGCCACTGCGCTTGTTCAATGTGGACCTGGCCGGCGTTTTCGTTGGCGATATATATGGCGGGCTAACCAGCGGCGAGTGCTTGATGCTGCTCAGGCGCGGCGTTGTTTTCCAGCGACGATAGAAATTCTCGGCTTGAGTCCGTGGCATCGGTCCGGCCAATGCTCCGATGGCCAAAGGCACACATAGCGGCTCACGATCTTCTTGTTTGTTCTGCAGCTTTGGTGGATCGGTTGGCGTAAACGGTTGGCCAACTTGAGGCGACAACTCGTTACCGACGGCACGCAAGACGGGCACATAATAGGGCCCGTTGAGCAGCAGCTCGATTTTCTTAACCACCATGGGATCAGTCTGCGGTGCTCGCAGGCAAACCATGTGCTTGGGTAACTGGTGATCCTTGTTCAACAGAGACTTGCATTGCGGATACGAAGTGAGCAGCTCGACGACAGCCACGTGTCCGTATTTCACGGCAAAGTGCAGCGGCGTCTCGCATCGTCCTCTATCCGGTATATTCAGATAATAGTCGAGTAGGTTCGCACTAAGCGCGGCACACATCTCCTTGCTTGCCTGCCTGCCAGCGTAGAGTTGCGCGAATTCTGGATCGGATATTATTTTGAGTAGCAGTTCGGCAACGTGCGGCTGGTTAGCCTGAGCGCATATATGCATGGCATTGTAGCGGAACCCATCCTTGAGAGTAGTCGGCGTGTCACCACTGCTGATCAAATAGCGTGGGTTCTTCCAAACGAGGCGCTTCACCTGCTTACAGTTTCCTGCCTCGATGTGCTTGCGAAACTCGATGAGTTCGTGTTTTGTAGGCGCACGGAATGGCGGGCGCTCGACATTCGCCGCCGACGAAATATCCCTGACAGGGACTTCTAATTCGCTGCTATTTGGCTTGCTCATTACCAAGTTGAGTCACTTTCCGTTCACGGTTGGACAATTCTATAGATGCAGTGTCCTATTTCTCGTTTTCAAGCGAATAATTTTTCTTTATCGAATTGATAAACGTCTTTTACAAAATGACGTGACGAGCTTCACATTATTTGTATTTTGTACTTACTTTATACGATTTCTTCGTGAATACGCTTAAGTAGTATTGTAGGCCCCAAACTTTTTTGACAATTTGTTATTGCAGTCTCAAAATCCAAAATCCAAATCCCTTCCTACATATATAAATATATTATCTGAATGGAATTTATATTAATTTCGACAATTTAATAAAAAATGAGGAAAAGTAAAAGAAATTGCCAAGAGAAAGCGCTGAGGTTTATCTGAAATAAAATTCAAGAAAGAAATTTATTGAATTGACAATCAGCAGATTGACAAACTTCTCATCAAATCTTAAACACTTGTAGAAATCGTTATATTCTTTGGAGGGATGTCCTATAAAATTGGTTGTCCCATAGAAAATATAGTGCTATCGTTGTGGAAAGTCTAGAAAAGCGATGCATTTCAAATACTTGTTTTGACAGATTTTTTACTGAAAAAAGCAGCTGGATGGCAAATTCAATGATATTGATCTAAGTCCGCATAAGGCCTTGCCAAAGTGGAGTTATGGTCGATTCCAAAAATACAATTCGGGCGCTATTATGCACCGCCTTTCAACGAAAAAGTTATAGCCATTTCAAGCCCAGAGGCCAAACAAATTCATATTGTATAGTAACTAAGATATGCCTTAGTAGTTTAATTTATTTATTTATTTACTTTTTATTTTCTAGTGCGATAGGAAAAGTATTATTAATTAAAATTAAAAATGATTTGAATAACCCTTCTTACCTATTTTATAAAAAATTTAGAGTTTAATTTAATTGATTTTGTTGTACTTCCAATATTTTACCTTGATTTTTATATACATTTTAAGCACAATTTAATTTTTTCCAACTTGCGATGTCTGTATTGCCTACTTATCAGATCATCAATGGAAACAAAATTGCAAAGCATTGGGAATAGATGGGATAAAGATCTAACTAACTCTTTCAAGAAACGCTGTACTTGTATATATGGAGGTAGTAATAGCAAAAGATTAAAATGTAATATGTTGATATTTAAATTAAAAATAATGAATACTATAACCATTGCATTGCATTAACTTCTCTCTTTTCGAATGCAATTTTTTAAAAACGTTTCCATCAAACACTAAGCCATATTGACATTAATACGGGTACGCGGGTAATTAAAAAAGTGCCGATCAAAGGCTTAATAAAAATGCGTTCAATTTTAGCATAAATGTGATTAATATTTTACCATAATTACACATTGATTAATGAATAGTCAAATGGGCCCTGATGCTTTAAGTCGCTGATGTCGGTGATGTTAATCAGGCGAAAGGAAGCTGCAGCCTGCCAACCATAAATCCATTTGATTTGAGCTGCACAAAATGGCAAATATTTTGTCAACTCTCTACTCCAGGCTGCAATATCAAATACGAGTAGTACAAGACCGACTACAAAATGCTTATGTCCAGTTGTCGGGCATAACTCATTAGTATTAACTGCATACACACATACTTGTTTAGAATATAAAAGTATGTATATAGGTGTGTCCGACTATCTGGATGCGTGTTTATCGCTTGGGGCAGCACCATTAAATAATTGGCTCGATTTATGTGTACGTTTCGCATTGGGCAAACTTAAGTTGGTTGTGGCTGCCATTCCTATTGCCACATCCCATGGCCATACATCTTGGCTGTGCAAATACACGTACGTGTATGTACCCGTACTATGGCTGGCAAAAGATTAAACATAATTTTCAATTGCACGCACACGAAAACTCTCAACAATATGCACATATATTTCCATATGCATATCCTATATACATATATAGTGTGTATGTATGTTTGTTTGTGTGTTTGTGCAACATGCAACTGCATGCATTTATGCAACAAGCGACCGCCTGAGTGCCGCCCGTGGCTAAATGCTTGCACATGAAAACTGCATACAGTCGGACTCCGGCTATACGGCTCGATAACTGCACGGAGCTGCTGACCAAATACGCTATCACTGCCTCCGCTGCACCCTCACTCAGCAAATACCCTTACCTTATGGCATGCAGCAAGCCACAGTGCACACTCATATAAATACGAATATGCATCCAAATACGACTACGAACGTTGCTGGAATGCATTTTTCATGTTGTCAGTTGCTTTTTGCAAAATGCAGCAAATACAGAAAATTAATTTCCAGGTGCACAACTTCCACACAGCACAGATAGTAGTAGTATATAGCATGCACATATATCTAATCAAACACACACATATGCACAGCCATTATGAAGTTTTGATTTTGCCAGTCAGCCTGGGGACAACACGCCATACCAAATAAAAGCTTAAATGCGTTGCGACAAGGAAGTTTTAGAAATGCTAAAAAGATTTTATAAACAGTTTTCAGCAGAGGCCGCTGAATAATCGCTAAGTAACATATTTACTGCGACAATTCATATTATATGCAATAAGTGTAAAAAAAAACTTATCAGAGCGGAATTTTTAAGGCATCCTCGAAGTGGAAATAAATCATTTAACACAAGGGGACATATCTGACAACGCAATAATTTTTAAACAAAATTCATTGAAAATGGATTCTTTTTTTCCAACCCAATATAATAGATCAATCGAATTTAAATCATTAGTTAACAAAACAATCTTAAAAGGCTTCTTTTTTTTGATACTTCAGAGCTAAATATTATATAGCTCTTTGCAGACATTTTCTGAAAATATAAGCAAATTTAAGCATTTTTACATTAATTTTATAATAAAGCGTGCAACACCAAACATGATACTAGTACTATTTTAATAATTAGGGGCTAAAGTGTAAATTTTGCCTAATTAGAACAAATGAAAACATTTAGCATTGATTTAATAATCCTCTTATACATACTTGTATTTCTGGCCGACATGCAAATACTTGTTCAATATTATTTTACAGCAACATATCATCTAATAGAAAAGCTTCTTTTCATTACGTTCATTTGTGCATGCTGCATTGTGAAAAGTCTTAAATATCTGGTTTCTAATTAACAAATGTATTTGATTCGTTCTTTCTCTTTGGACATGCCAACACACTTGTCGCTTGCCCGCTCGCTGCCCGCTAACCCGCCTCGCTTGCTGCGTACACCGAACAGGTCTCGGATACGGTTGTGGAGCCGTACAATGCGACACTCTCCATTCATCAACTGGTCGAGAACACGGACGAGACCTTCTGCATTGACAACGAGGCGCTGTACGACATTTGCTTCCGCACGCTGAAGCTGTCGTCGCCCACCTATGGCGATCTGAATCATTTGGTCTCTGTAAGTGCATTTTAATTACAACCTGACTAATGTATTTGTCCATTGGTGTTCGTATCCCTGAATCCTGAATCCGCATGTGTCCTGTTGCGACGATATCGCAGGTATCCGAGGTGGTCGTCGAGCCATACAATGCCACGCTGTCGGCCCATCAGCTATGCGTCGATACAGATGAAACATTTTGCATTGATAATGAGGCCTTGTATGACATTTGCTATCAAAGTCTGCGTATGTGCTCGCCCACCTATGAGGATCTCAATCATTTGGTGTCTGTAAGTAAGCAAAACGAAGGATGCACAACCAACTCTGAATCTGAATCTATTCGAATGCACCTGAATACTCGCATACTCGTATGTACTTGTATGTACAAGTATACGCTCACTATGTGTCGTCTATTCTGAGGCGTTCGGCATTTAATTAATTTAAATATAAAATAGCAGATGCTCCATATATGTATCGTACGTGTATAGTATATGCGTGTGTGTGTGCGATGTTGTTGGTATTTTTAATTAAATTTCAAAAGCTACAATTTGTGACGATGACGAGCAGACATTGTCCAATTAATACAACACCGGCATAGCTTAGGTGTTTAGGTTGTCAATTTTCAAACGATTTTTGTTTATGGCGTTGACTGATAATTAAAATTTTGCCATGCATCTGAGGCCTGCACGCGTCCGTTCAGGAAACACAAACGCACACACACACACACATGTATATTTAACGTGTTAAAGAATAGTAGCTGCAGGGAATATGTTTGTTTTATAGATTTTTGTATACGAATAAATACAAAGCATAAATAATGTATAGACTAAGCCGAGCACACTACAGTCTTTTAAATTAGGATAGGGCGAGTATAAAAATCTGAATCGATTTTAAAGATTTTTATTTAAATAATTATTATGCAAAATGATTTCTCAACAAATGAATTTGGCATTAATCTCCTAGACGCCCCAACAATTATAGCTCCAAGAGTTGAAATTGTTCGGCAATTATTAACATAGTCTTCTTAAAGTTTACATCAACCGATTGATTATAAGTAAATTTTAACTAAGTGTGCTCTTCTGGAAGAGAAGGAACTGGACTTCACGCAGCTAATTAATATCTAGCTTGGATAATTAATATCTCTTTTTTGAGAATTCTTTAATTTCTCAACAAATCGATTTAGTATTAATTTCCTATATATATAAAAACTATAGCTCCAAGAGTTGAAACTGTTCGGCAATTATTAACATAGTCTTCTTAAAGTTTTCATCAACCGATTGATTATAAGTAAATTTTAACTAAGTGTGCTCTTCTGGAAGAGAAGGAACAGGACTTCACGCAGCTAATTAATATCTAGCTTGGATAATTAATATCTCTTTTTTGAGAATTCTTTAATTTCTCAACAAATCGATTTAGTATTAATTTCCTATATACAGTCTGTCAACTAATTGTTTGCAAAATGAAATTTGTCACCAAATTTCAACTTTAACATTAAATTTATAAATAATGACATTATTTGGGAATATTTTGCTTATCAATTATTATTAAGATATGTATTAGCTATGGGTATGTCAAAAAAAAGAGACGAATTTCCATGTAAAACGTAAAAGAAACGAAGAAAACAAAACAACGACATTTACGACACTGTCAATTAATTGTTTGCAAAATGCAAACACTGGTTGAAAGAAGACCATAGAAAAAGTAACAGGACGGCCAAATCGAAAAGGACCGATCGCATTTTTTTTACTAGTATTCCTTCCACTAATTCCTTGTAAAATTTGCTTCAGTTTGGTAACGTATCTGTCACTTTGACCATTTTTGCAAACGCACTTATGATAATTTGATACAGCTAGTGTTTTTCCATTATAGCAACGGGAAAACAGCCAAACAGTTGGCCAAAACATATCGAATTAAACTTAGAACAGTCTATAATATCATTAACCGCGCCGAAAAAGAGAATTAAACAGCTATCAAGGCAGATTTCCATAGCTTTCTCGGCAGGATTGCTCACAAATTTTAAAAAGCATTGAAAATAAACCACAAACGAGCCTCAGGGAGTTGGCCAATAATATTTACAATGACTGCAAGAAGTATATAAAAACTATAGCTCCAAGAGTTGAAACTGTTCGGCAATTATTAACATAGTCTTCTTAAAGTTTACATCAACCGATTGATTAGAAGTAAATTTTAACTAAGTGTGCTCTTCTGGAAGAGAAGGAACTGGACTTCACGCAGCTAATTAATATCTAGCTTGGATAATTAATATCTCTCTTTTGAGAATTACCCACATTTATAATACAGTGTACGATGATTGATTTGTGATGCCGAAAATGTACATACAAATTCAAGTACATTTCGTCACCGTTTATTTAGTGCCTCTTGGTAGAATATCAATTGTTCAACTACGACTCCAATACTCGCAAATGTTGGCTTTATTAATTTTGATTAACCCTCCATCCTCCATCCCCACCACAGGTCACAATGTCCGGAGTAACCACCTGCCTGCGTTTTCCGGGCCAGCTGAATGCGGATCTGCGCAAACTGGCCGTAAACATGGTGCCCTTCCCACGTCTGCACTTCTTCATGCCCGGCTTTGCCCCCCTCACCGCCAAGGGCTCCCAACAGTATCGTGCCCTGACCGTCGCCGAGTTGACACAGCAAATGTTTGATGCCAAAAACATGATGACGGCATGCGATCCCCGACATGGACGCTATCTGACTGTCGCGTGCATTTTTAGAGGTAAGTTCGAAATTAATTTCACACAGCTCTTGATAAATGCCACGCATTAACAAGCCCAGGTGGGTGGGGTGGTGCTCTGTATTGTGGTGTGGTGCGGTGTGGTGGGGTGTGGTGCTGACTTTCCTGTTGCGCTCAGTCATAGCCGAGCTTAAATATGCACATCGTTAGTGCCTTAAGCGTCGCTGACATAACATGACAAACCATTTTTTAGCTTCCCCGGCCGTTTTTTTTTTTTTTTTTTTTTTGTTTATATTTTTGACTTTCTTGTCGACATGACATGTTGTTATAAATGCGCTGCAACGCCACACCCAACAGTCAAAGCCAAATTTGAAAAAAGCATAAACCACAAAAACCCAAAAATACTCGATTATGCAGCACACAGAAATACTCTAAATGAATATCTTGAAATTAAAGAAAAGGGAATCAATTTTTGTTAGAGCGATCAATTTTGATTTGTTTGAGAATTATCTTAGGATGAGAATCTGAATCCATTATTAAAATTTAAAAACACATTTCACAAAATAAATAATTAGTCTCTTAAAAAAGTAGTTAAATAATTGATTATTTGGATACGAATACTTACATCTTACACATGAGAAAGTTGGGATTATAGTTATGGAACTATTAGAATACTATATAAAATATTTCATTTTTAATAATAAGGACATAATATTTATATTAGCCAGTAAGTGTGGTGTTTGAAAATTGTTCAAAGATTGTATTTTGATTTGGCAATTTAATCGCACAATTAGTACTGAGCTGACAGACGAATGAAAAATATAGTTAACTGAACAATCACTGCACGAGTCGTATATCTTATTTATTTATTTATCTATTTAACATGCCGCCTCACCAGCTCAACATACCCCATGTAGTGAGGTAGGCAGGGTACAGACAGATAAGAAAAATAGTTTTTTAACAACACTACCTAAACAGTTCTAGCAAACACGCCTATGGGTGAGTAGCAGCGGAAATGCCAGCAGCTTCGGCTTAGGCCCCAAAAAAAACTTTGTCACTTTGTCATGGCCGCCGGGATGTTGTCGTCGCACACCTGGGCATGTTTTTTCGTTTAGCTTACTATGTATTTGAGAATATATTTCTGGCTGAGCCACAGGCACGTAGCCACTTTTTCGCTGTTCTGCTTTGCAGCAAGGACGACGAGGACGACAATTTTATTAGCAATGGCAGAGCCTACTTATGGCCGCCCCACTAAAAATGATTAATGGCTTTTGACTGGCGGCTAAAAAGGCTGCAATCCGTCAACGCGCACGTAACTCAAATTTGTTTGTGACCGAGCGAGCGCATTTCTTTTTTACTTGCTCTTTTTTTTGAATTTTTTTTAACGCTAATTTTTAAATTAATAAACTGGCTGTGTGGCGGCGACGCGACGCGACGCGACGCCTTAGAGTATGCCGCATAATTTTTCATTTGTTATTCCTTGTGTGCAACTCACATACTTACTATACACAGAGAACTTTACGTTTGACTGATGACTCGCAAAACGCGCGTAATTAGAAATTTACTTTCAAGTTGCAATGGGGAATTATGCGGCACTGTACGTGACCGCCCCCGCCCCCCTCCGCAAGCCACCACCCGCTATCCATTGCCCAAAAGTCAGCATAAAATGGCTTTAGGCTTAACTAATCATGCTGAACGTGACTTAAGGCTGCCGTCCATGCTGACTGACTGACTGCCAGAAATACTTGCAAAATAATTAATCACAAAAATGTGCGCAACAAAACCCAAAAGCGACACAGAGACAGGGCGAGAGAGAGAGAGAAAGAGAGAAAAAACAGAGAAAAGCAGCCCGACAGGAATTTAAACAACTTTTTTAGTTGCCTCCTGGGACTGTTTGTATCAAGATGCGTCGCGCGCCCCCCTGCTTGTCAACTTAAAATTCCGTTAAATACGTCCCAGCAGCGCATAAATGCGCCTAAAAGCAACCAACACACACACTGGCACAGAGACAAAGACAGAGAGAGAAACATAAGTTATACAGGTGCCCGGGAACTTCGAATGCCGTTTAGTATTTCATATTCAGGGATTAGGGGATTTGTTGTAGGCATCAAAGTCAAACTGGCGTTTGATGTAAATAGGAAAAGTGCCGAGGAAGAGCCGACAAAACTGCCTGACATTTTTCTTTGCCATTAGCATTACCTTTTTTTCTTATTTTTCTTAATCACTTTGCTAAATAATTAACACAGGACCCATGTCGATGAAGGAAGTGGACACACAAATGCTGAATATTCAGAGCAAGAATAGCAGCTATTTCGTTGAATGGATTCCCAATAATGTGAAAGTCGCTGTTTGTGATATTCCTCCACGTGGTCTGAAAATGGCCGCCACATTTATTGGCAACTCTACGGCTATACAGGAGATATTCAAACGCATATCCGAGCAATTCACGGCCATGTTTAGGCGCAAGGCCTTCTTGCATTGGTACACTGGCGAAGGCATGGACGAAATGGAATTCACTGAAGCCGAGTCGAATATGAATGACCTGATATCAGAGTATCAACAATATCAAGTGCGTATTATATTCCTACACTCTAAAATCAAATTAAGTAGATATTTAAGCCAATTATATTGAATTGATAAAACAGTTGGCTAAATTGAATCATCCTAATGATTGTTGGTTTATTGTTTAGTATACATGTTAAAAGGAAGAGATTACCAAAGTCTTCCAATATTATCTGATGTACGAGGTTATCTAATAGGCCATCATTTGGCCTCCCCGCTCTCAAACGTTCTGGTATATTCCAGAAATGATGGATTTCAAAACATATACTATACATACATACTTGTATATCCGCAATTACCACTAAGACAAGACTGAGAAACACATTCTCAGACAATCAAGTAGTGATCAATCGATTATGCCTGTATGTTCGCAGAACTGCCGCATATATTCGATATGAAAAAAAATAGTTCAAAACCGCTTTATAAGCTTCAAATCAAAATTGGGCTATACTACAGTTTTTAAGGGTTCTATCCTTCACTGTTATTTAAAACATATGTTTTCTTCATGGTCATCTTAATCCAGGAAACATTTCTGATATATTTTATGTCTGGCCAACCTTTGCCACAACTTATACATTTAGGAAAATAAATAAAAGAGTAAGATTAGAATTAGATAAATAGAAAAATCCCATAGAGAAAATGCATTCTAGATCCTAAAATAATTTGTAAATATTTTCCCTATAATTTCTTGTATTCGTAATTCCAGGAAGCCTCTATTGACGACGATGTGGAGTTCGACGATGAGCAAGCAGAGCGTGAAGCATACGAGGCCGAAGATACACTGCAAAATGGCGGTATCTAGCAGTTTAAAAGTACACCCTAAATTGGGGTGTTTTCAATATCTGTGTAATTTTATCCAATTTTTCTATAAAAGAAAATAAATGCTATGACAAAGAATTTCCCATGTTGGTCAGCTCTTTTATTATGGAATTCATTTGTTCTTAATTGTCTACAGAGGATAGTTAAGTAGCACATCCTGGCGTGCCAGCTCCAGCAACATAGGATCGTCAAAGAACTTATTAATGGACACATCCTCCGACAGACCTTTGCGTCGTCGCGTCTTTATCATAAACTCGCGAGCCAAATGAGAGGCCTGCTGCGGCTCCAAGGGGCGTATAATAATGCTCTTATCCAGCGGATCTCCGGGCACTATCTGCCAATGATGGAACACAGACAAACAGAAGGCTTGACCCTGTGTGTGCGTGCGCAGATCTGTCTCAAAGCCAAAAGAGTCAATAGCGGGTATAAAAGCCTTGATAGTGTAGATGGGAGAGCCCGAAACTGGCGCATCCTGAGTAACGTGACCTCTGTAAGAAAATGAAATAATATGAATTATAAAGATGTAATTAATTAAAACTATTTTCTAAGCTATTGGTAAATTGTTGAATTTTTATAATTGCCAATTTATTTAATTATTTAAAAATTGCATCAATCCAAAATCTCACCTGCGTCTCGCCAATACCGTATAGACAGCCGACACACAATCTGCTGGCGCCTGCACCTCAACAAACAAGTAGGGCTCCATAAGACGTGGCGTGGCCATCAAGAATGCGGAGTACGCCACACGACGAGCCGTAGGTATGATTTGGCCGCCACCACGATGCAGCGCTTCATTGGCAATGACAGCATCGAGAATTTTGAACTTGACGTTCCTTATGGGCTCCTCGCATAGCGGTCCCTCTCGTGTGCCCCACTGAAATCCCTGCACTATGGAATCTTTTACAGCGGTCAGCAGATTTTTGTCCACCTCCGAGGGCAGCGTATCGTCTACCAATATATTGGGACCCGTTGAGTCTGGTCCGAAGGCCCAAATGGAACGCGCTGCCAGCAAATCCCAATCGTAGTTGACTTGAAAGAATTCTCCAATGCGTCGCTTATTCCAATTGATGCACACTGTTTCATTTTCTATATCCTCGGCCAAACCTTTCTCCAGCGGCTCGGATATCATTGTAATCTTATTCTTTTTGTTTGGTGTCTCAGCGAAACATTTGAGGGAACTTGTCTCCACGACAGTTTCGCAGAAGGCGACAACAGGATCGGCAACTTTTATATCAATTTCCGAGTACATTTTGCGCAGGTCATGCATCACACAGTCCAAGTACAGTTCACCAGTGCCTAAGATGACATGCTCGCCGGACTCCTCGACGCGTGTCGAAAGTAATGGATATGATTTGTTTACTTTACGCAAGCCATCCAACATTTTCGGCAACTCCGATGGATTTACCGGCTCGACAGCAATTTTAATGATGCTTTGGGTGTTGAATTTGAGTGGCCGGAAAATATAGAGGTCCTCTGGCACATTGATATCCACAATTGTAGATGTTTTAACAATACACTGATCAATTCCCTCGATGAGCACCCAGTTGCCTGAGGGCACACGGTTGAGCTCAACTTTATAGCGTGCCTCGTAGACCCACAAGCGACCCACTTGTAAAATGCGCGAGTCCTCCTCGTCCTGCAGTGTATAGTTCTCACCCAGTACGCGAACTTCTTGTCCTGCATGCAAGGTACCCGAAATAATACGTGCCAGCACTTGGAAAAAAGTGCAATCATCGTTGGGATACATCTTGGAGCTGTGCACCATGAGGGTGCCATATTGATTACAGGTCTTCATGTCACGATAAATGTCGCCTTCTTTCGGACCTGTGTATATGTGATCCACCTTGCGTTTGGCATTCTCCAGTGGCGATTTAATGTGCTCAACACACATGTCCACAAATCCGCTGCAATCCCCCATGAAACGATTGCAAACCAAGCGCAACAAAGGGCGTATATTCGATTTCATCTCTTCTTTGGAGACGCGCACATTCAGTTCGGCCAAGGTATCGGACAATGTGGTGTCAACATCGCCAACGACCTGCGCAATTAGCTTATACATTGGTTCTAGTATAAACTCCACAAAGCTGCGCTGTGCCGAGCTGTGTGGCGGCTTTTTGGTAAATTTCCGCCTATCAATTGAAGTGAAATGAAAACAACAGAGTTATATACAGTCTAGCCTTGCTACTTTGCTTTACTTACGATTTACTGTGAAAATACATATCGCCCCAGAGTCGTCGCGAAAACTCCAAATAATTCACACCCTCATATGTATCCGCATAGAGTTTTGCGAACGACTTCAGCGTGAAACAAAAGCCGTACAGTGAACTGGCAAAGCAAACGTTTCCTAATATTGGTGATATAGTTAGATTGTCCTCAGCACTACCATAGGTGCTGTAAATAGAGTAGAGCTTAGAGTACAGACGTGTATTGGCATTATAAAGATTTTACCCGCACCTTAACAGTCCATTGACTTCTTCCACAATATGTTTCAGCTTAAAGTATGCATCTTGAGGCGGTAATTTTAGCTCCAATATGAGACGATCAATCTGCAAAGTCAGAAATGTATCAGAATCAATTATGATTTATATCGTTTCATTAAAATAAATAAATCATAAATACGAACGGCAAATCAAAACAGAACTTTTCTCAACAACAGTAAATGTACATAAATATACAAATAATAAGGAAAATTCGCATGGTATGTATCTGAATATTCAATGAAATTGCTAGTTATATCCTAAACAAAAAGGTTGAAACATCCTTCTTACCTTATTAATGCAGACAGTAATTGCCAGACGCTCCTGCACTGCATGCTTCAGCAGCCGTTCTGTATTTAACATAACACCTTCGGCCGCATCTATGAACACCACAACACCATCACTCATGCGCATGGCCGCGGTTGCTTCATCCGAGAAGTTCACATGGCCAGGAGTATCGAAAATATTAAGCAAATAGCTCTTCTGCTTGACATCTTGCAAGACAAGCGTTACCGGTGTAGCTTTAATGCTACAGCCTCGCTCCTGCTCCGTGAAAAGCGTGTCTGTATAGCGCAGGGAACGCTCCTCCATGTTCTCAAACTGTGGGTGCGTTTGCCTTATCAAGCAGTCCACGAATGTAGTTTTACCATGATGCAGATGTCCAATGAGTGCCACATTGCGAATCAATGGCGGTGTGTCCATGAGGTCAGCCATAAATTCCATGTCGTAGGTGGTTTCCGGCAAATCCTGTTCCTTCAACTGGAATTTCAGCTTCTTCACCGGCTCAATAAGCGGCTTATCCAATGGTTGCGCATCCTCCTCTTGCACAATAGTCTCAACATCAGGCCCATACACTTCAACTGCCGAGGGATAGTATCGTTTATCTTCATGCAGCACCACAGCCGTAACTTCTTTGTCTTCGTCGTCCTGAGGTTCCGCCTCGTCCTCATCCATGGCGTCATCCTATAGTGCAGACAATTCTTTAAATGTTTTTTAATGTTAGTCCTATCTGTACTCACATCCTGGTCATCCTGCACATCGGCTTGGCCGTAAATGCTTTGGTCATCATCTTCATCGCTGTCCAAGTCGGGGCCTATATAATTGCCAAACTCATCGTACAAATCGGAATCCATATCAACTGTGGATGCGCAATAAAATTAATGAACATCTAGTTATAAGCCTGCGGATACACATGCATTTAGGTGTGTAAATATTTAAAGACATATATTTAGCAAATATATGTATCTATAAATGTATTTATTATGGTTCTAAGTAAACGTTTACTGCACAAAAAATAGCCGCGCAAAATAAAAGCAAATCGAGTTTATTTTCCATAAATTTGTGAATCTTCGCACCCACCTTTATTTAGTATTGGCTCTTTCGCACTTTTTTAACTATTTTTAATGTATAAACATTTACTTTTATTTATATTTATACAATTTCACACAGCAACGCGTACTTTTGCGCACGCTGCTCTTCTTCTTCGTAAAAAGACAATCGCGAACAGCTGGCCAAAAAGCCGGCCGGTAAAGGCATTGCCAGCATCAATGTGTTGCTGCTGCTGAGCGCGAATATTTAAAAAGCAAACATGCTGGTTGTGCGGCGCTCCTTTCTTCGTATTTCGTCTATTGCTGCCTGTGCTGCAGGTAGAGAATGCAGAAAATTATCCTATACTAATTTACAGGTAGACGCCCATGTTTTCAATAACTGCTCTTTTGCCATACATTACCTAGTTTTTGTTGGCAGCTGAACGTGGTAGCATCAGCATGAAAACTTTGCTGCTCATTGTGGCATATTACATCGCAATTTGTGATGCTTCATTCCTTAGATATTGGCGTTCATTAGATAACTCATTTATTCCGAATTTAAACAATATACGCAACGCCGATGATTGGATCAAGATAGCCAAATACCACATCAGCAAACACGAACCATACCAGGTGAAAAAATATGTGCCATATAGACCAACCAACCAAGATATTCCCAACAGATTTTCCGATTTGTCGGGAAATGAAGTTCTTAAAGTCACAAGCACTACGTTCGCACCGGAGACTACGACCAGCGACCCAGAATGGGAGAATAGCAGCAATGTGCCCAATATTGAGACTTCAACTCTTCCATTGGAACTGACAACGACAGAAAATCCAGAAACTACAGTAACTGAGACGACAGAATCATCGGAAACCACTACACAGCTTCCAGAACCACAAACGTCAACACTATTGTTCTCAATAATTACATCAACGCCTGGTTTTGAGACAACTACGCTTTCTTATATAACGACAACAAAGTTTGATAACAGCGAGGAATCTAACTTTACTACCACAACTGAAATTTTGCCTACAGAAAGCACCACCCTAGAAGGAACAGAATCAAGTACCGTAGCACTGATCCAAACGGCAACTTCAATAGCTGAGCTCACCACCGAACTACCAGATGCCTCCCAAATACCAGAACTTACAACGGAATCAGCAGTAAACGAAACTACAACCTCTGAAACCACAACAGACAGAGAAATTCTGAGCACAACTACAGCTACAGACACATGGCCAATAATTGAAAACTACGTTTTGGACCCAAGCACCACCACAGATACAGGCATCCCAGAATCGTCAACCCTGCCGACAACGGAAAATTATTCTCCACTTGGCACCACAGATATCTCCACACTGCCGACAATTGAAACTTCTACTTTGGACCCAAGCACCACCACAGATCAAGGCATCACTGATTTCACAACACTGCCCACAACAGAGAGTTCGCTACCACTTGGAACCACAGATGTCGTCACACTGCCGATAACCGAGAGCTCCCTTATGGAAAATACAACCACAACTAGAAGCACACAAGCCACAAGCATTGTGGCAGACACCATTAAATCAAAGCCCATAAAATTCACGTATTCATCCGATGTCATGCCAGAGGATCCGTGGTTTTAAAATGTTTAAATTTTTTAATAAAAGTATTAGGTCTGAAAATCGTTTGTTTTTTACCAAAGTTGGCATTTGTTCATCGTGGGATTCATTGGACTGCCCAGCGGACATTGAAAGACATGCGCAAAGTCCTCATTATTGGTTACAGCGCCCAAAACACGGTACTTCTCTGGCGTATGCTCATCGATTAGCCCCAGCCAGTAATCCGCATCTGTAAAGTCCGCACAATATGTCTGTGCAAAGCTTAGAAAGAACAGTTGATTCGGCAATAGATCCAAACCCGGCATTAATTCACTGTCAATTGTAAATTTTGGGTCGTTCCTTTGCAATTGCTTTATATGGTTGTGATAGGCTATGAATGCTGCCCGTAATCCTCCACTGTCCGCTATGTTTTCCTCTTTGGTTTTGTGGCCATTTACTGTGCGTTTAATTTCCGGTATCTTATAACCATTATAGTGATCCACAAAGCACTGAGTACGCTCATTCAGAGCACTGTACATATTTCTTGGCCAGGGAATATCATCAAGAGCCTCCTCGGAATCGAAGGCGTGCGTGAGTTCGTGACCCACCACGGCGCCGGTGGCACCGAATTTCATCGCACTTGGCCAATATTTGTGATAGACAGGCAGGTGGAGTATCCCTGCCATTATATAGACTGAATTGTCCTCAGAGTAGTAAATGGCATTCAACAGCATAGACCCTAACACCTCTATAGGCTTTAAGTCTGTAGAGCTTAAGGATTGTGCATCGATATGGCCCAAATACCGTTTCATAAACATCTTAAAATGTTTTAAGTCGATGTTACTTTTGGCGTAACTTTCTTGTGAAATGGCAAGCTTGTTCATTTCCTCAATCAGACGTTTTATAAGTTTAGGATCCTTGAAGCGGCCAATATGGGTCTGCACCTCAGACTCTTTCTGCAGCAATTTCCGCCGCAATCCTTTTTTAAGCCAGTCAGCATTTATCAAAAGGTGACGAAAGCCCTTACGAATCTCACTGACAATAACTGCAATGTCGCCATAAATATCGGCAGTTAAGTATTTCTAGAAAGAGACATTTTTTAGATTTTCTGAAAGGCCGATATATAATTGTTTTCCACTTACCTCTACATACAATTCCCCCAACAGGAAGGGCAGTGTTTCATACATCGTGAGGGCACAATATTCGGGTTGCTCTTCAGTAGCTGCTAGCTTGGCATCTAATTCGTAGAGCAGCTTCATGGCCAGGTAATTTGCCACTGCGGGCTTATGTTTCTCACACACTTTTTCCAGCTCCATATAGAAAAAATCACAGTAATGCTCGAAATCCTCAAAGTCAAAGCTGTTCCCCTGCCAGACAATCTCATAATAGCTCGGCCATTGTGAAAATGTTTCTACATCCAATTCAATTGTCAGCTCTTCACACTTATTTGTATCATCCGCAAAACGATCTCTAATTATTAGAACATCCCTCCAGAAGGCGAAGATATCATGGATTACCTTCGAAATCTGTTCATCCGCCATGCCGTAGAGGCGCAAATAGTTGCGCATGCGCTTCTCGTTGTCCTTGTACGCCTGCGTAGTGTTTGTCGCTATATTATCGCTATAGACCATGTATTTAAATCCCAGCTTCGAAAGATGAAATGTTGGAATATCCGTGAGTAATTCCTCATTTATGAGCCCTTCTGCTCCGTAGTTGGTCAAGTGGGCGCTCATGTTGAACCAGCTGAAGTTTTCTGGCTCCCACGTAGGGTCTATAGCTGGAAAACCACCAATAGAACTAATTAGATCCAGATAAGCGTGGTCGCTTGCTTGCATCGGGTAGAGATCGGCCCTAAGGCAGGCATTATAGAACTGTTGTGCAAGGTAAAGCTCTCTGCCATAATCCATATCAAGTTTTTCAGTCGACTTGGACAGCATTTCGTGCACCGCATCATTTAGCTTAAAGATAATGTCTCCAAAGCTGCTGCGACTAAATGGTGTGTATTTGTCGAGCTTGACATTCTTCCAATTTCCACATGCGTATTCATAGAAGTCGTCGCAGGGCGACACACTCCGATTCATGTAGGTCAACATAAGCTCGGCATAGGCTTTCCGAAACTCAATGTGAGGAGTTTGAATTATATTCGTAGTATCCTTGCTAGTATCTGCTGGCTTAGCTTGGCAGATCGTTAATGTAATACACATAGCTAAGATACCGAACAGCCACTTCATATTTGTTTAAAGTGTTTAAAGCTTGCACATTCCTTTTAAAGCTTAATTGTTCCTTTTCGTTTATGACTATCGTCCTTCAAAGTCTAAACCAAACCTACTTCCCAACAAGTGAGATTCACGGCCAGGACTATATTAAAGATAAGATAACAAACTGCGGATCACAAAGGCAAACGTCGATCACCCTTAACTGTAACAATGCATTTGATCTGTCTTTCTGATACATTTCCGAATGATATATTATGATTAATTCAAAATAAATTCCACAAATAAACGCTTTTTAGGTGTCAGTGACTCGCTTGAAAAAATAAAAACAAAACTCAAACGCCTATTGTTTCATTGTTTAATTAAGTATGAGTATGTTACACCAAATTAAAGGTAAAACCCAACGCAAAAAATACGAGGAGATCTACTCCCTTTGTACTTTTGTCTGTTTGTCTATGAGTTAGAGTCAATAGACTTTGTATGAATTTCCTTCTGGTGCGCACGAAATATAATTTGTGGTTTTAATTCTTGTTTTTATTTTCATTTAAAAAATACATTGTTAGTCTAATTTATATATTCGCCTAAGCTTGCCCCATGTACAAATATTCAAACAATTACTTTTGCTACATTTCTTAATTTAATGGTAAAAGGTGATAAGGTCAAATGATTCAAAAAACCATCAATTTTGGGTACTAAATATATAATAAGGGATAATTCCTTTTTTAAATATTTCACATCATATAGAATGTTTCAAGCAAGTCGATAAATTGTAGGTAAACAAAAACAACATATAAACAGAACAAATTGTTTGTTATTTATATATTATTAGCGCAGCTTACAAAATGTTATTTTAAATTTCCCCTTTCACAGCTGCAGTACAATTTAAAAATCCTACCAACTCTTTTAATTTATTTGATTTGGCAATGCCACAACCGACATATAGTTGGCAACTCATGAATCAACAGCTGGTCGCAAACACATTTTAGTTTTTGTAAATAACTTGTATGCTTCGCGCAGTTTTGTTACACACGCTGGATCCATGAGTTTGGCAAGCATTAAAGAAAGGGAGGCTAAGGGCAGAAAAAATGCGTTGCCAAAATTACGCACCGTCTTGGCTAATCCCTACAAGCAGCATTGGTAAATGGGATTTTCAAAATAAGTTCACGTTTGAAATCAGTTTTTGTTTTTCATGTGTAGTCCTGTCCTGCAGGAGGATGAATTGAATGACTTTTGTGCCATATTAAAGGAGGCGATTGGCAAAAGTGGTGGCAAACCAAACACATTTGCAACCCAAGCAAAGATTCGACTTGGATTGGAGAGTTCCTTGCGTGCCATAAACGGTCGCCGTTTTTCCTGCGTGTTTCTTTCACTAAGCATGCGTCCATCCCATCTTATACGCCTAATAGCCAGCAGTGCGGCAGCAAAGGTGCAGACAGCCCCTATTTATGCACAGCCCAAGCTGGAGGAGTTGACAGAAGAGCTCTTTGGCGTGCGTGCGCTGGTGTTGGTTTTGCCGACTGATTTGGATAGCATTAGTCTGGGTCTGGCCAAATGGGTGGAAGAACGCAGGAAACCAGAGCTCGTACGAAATGTGATAAAAGCTAACAAGCCAAATAATCCAAAAAGAAAAAAGCCAACAGAACAAGCTACAGTTGAAGACCTTATACCCGAATTAAGAACTAAGCAGACGATTGAAGTGCCTGAAATTAAAAAGCCACCGGCATGGAGTGGCGATTATATAGACTGTTCGGATAGCACAAAGAAAGTAAGGCTGGGCCTAACCGATGCTGAAACGGCTCAGCAGAAACTACAAGAGGCCTTAGGCTGTTTGGCCATGAAAGCGGAAGCTGAAAAATTGAATGAAACAAAAACAGTGAAAACAACGGCTTCGCCGCCCGCACTAAAAGAGCCAATGCCTGCTATGCCCATGGAAGTCGAAGATGCTGATGAAGAGGATGAATTTCTGCCCAGTAATGTGTATCACCCGCTTACAGTGCACCATATCCAATCCAATCCAAATAAAAACAAGAAACATAAAAAGCGACGCAACAAAAAGCAACAGCAGCAAGGCAAAGCCACCAAATAGTTGGCAACGCGTGCCGAACAGCTGTTAATTTTAAGGTTATGTTTCAAGTAGTAATCGTAACATGTAAGACAACATAAAATAGAAAATGCTGAGGAATTTACAACGAATAAAAGCACTCAGAGCATTAGCACCGGCTGCCGAGAAGACACAATATCCAACCACAACAGCCACAAATATTTTAAGACTTCAATTTCCAACAACTACAACCGGGCAACAATATGGAAATTTATACACAAGCCGCATATTGCACAAATACGACAAGAAATCCTCTAGAGCAACAGAACATATAGACAGCGATGATGATGACGATGAAGATTTTAAAGATGAACGTGACTCCAAGGTAGTCAAGGCGAAGGTGAATTCACTGCGCGCCGATTTACTTGTAAAGTCGGGTTTGGGCATGGCCAGAAAGTACCTACATACTATATTTACTAAAAAGTCGATTAATTAATAAGTCTCTTCATTGCAGCAAAGTCGAGTTAGTGTTCTATGAAAGCAAAATACGTGTCAATGGCAAGAAGTTACAAAAGAAGAGTGTACAGGTGAGTGGAACTCCTTCCTTATCAGTAGTATGAAATAAAAAAAGTTTTTAATCGCAATTGTAGTTTCATCATATTTCTTTTATTGAAAGAGTTGGTTTTTTAATTAGGCCCATTAATTTATGTTCTTTCCCAAAACATTTTACTGATTTTTTTTACCATTTAGTCGATATTATATGAAGCCAATTTTTTGTAATGCTTGCAGTCTCGTAGCTCCTAATATTTTTGCTATTTATTTTACTAAAGCTTTCAATTATAAATCAATTAAACCACTTGCTTTGAACTCGGCAAACTCTTTGAAAATGTATACAGAAAAAGTAGACTAGAAATAGAAAATGAACAAGTAGAAACAATAGGTTACGAGATTCCAAAAAGAACTTCTTGCCCAGTGAATTCTGGATCACTGATTGTATTGCCTGACTACCAGAAAAGCGGACTTCCCAGCTAGTTGACACTGGAACTTCACATTCCAGTCAGTCTGTCAGCGAAATTTAAGACATGTGTTGTTAGCTTAAACGCATGGAATGTTTTAAAAACATATATGGAATAATTTTAAGACCAGCTTCAATACGGTTTAATTGTCGGGTTTTTGATTTGATTTGAAATTGGCCTCATAGAAATATCAACCGGTTTAAAGATGAATCCATTTATTTAACACATAAATTTATAGATTTCCTAACTCTTGAAATAGATAGGCGTCTATATCTTTCTCTCCTGAATTTTTATTTCATTTAAGAAACCATTTAAACATGACCGATATGTCTAATGATGTTCCAAGCAAGTTTTCTATTGAAAACGTGCACAGTTCGTTAATGATAATCTCAAATTCTATTATAACAGTATTTGGCTAAGGTTCAGCAAAGCAAGAAAAAGAGCTTTACATTCGTTTTTAGCAAACACATAAACACTCTATTAGTTCATCAGTAGCCAAAAGTGGTTAGGTAAAATAGCTATTTCGTTAGTTAATTTCTAACCGCTAATTTATTACTTAAATGTCTTGCCATTACAGCTCAATGTAGGCGATGAAATTGATGTCATACGCGGCTTTAGCCAAACAAATCCCTCCCATTTAGTTGTATCGCGTGTCGTCATACTCGCCGCTAATGAACACGATGAGGGTCTCAGCGTACAACTGCGTCGTTACAAGGCACTGCTGATTGATAATTATAGTGGATCAAATGCCTACAAATCCTCGGAGCCAACTGTGCACTAAATACCAAAAGTTAAGGTCAATAAGTCACATCTTATTTTTAAATCATTTGCTAGGCTTATGCCAAGCTCAAAAATCGTAATGATGTGAGTTTGAGGTTCGCTCAAACAGGCAGGGCTTAAATGGGGTTATGATGAAGTTCTTTCTATGACAATAATTTGAGAATTTTGATAAATTCGTATGAAAATGTTGCGCCCATCTATGTAAAGCTTAAGCTCTAAGCTCGACAACAAAATTCACGATTAAGAGCAACGCATGAACCTAGCATGTGTGTTTTGTATGAAATAAAATTGTTCTAGTTTTATATGCCACATGTACATTACACTTAGTTAATCAATGAACTCGTGCTTATCAGCGTTTTACGTTGACGCCCAGCGTATTATGTTTTGTTCTTCTTTTTGTTTACCAAACCCGACACTTGTCCGGCTTCGGATTCATTGGGGTCCCCAATGAACAATTGTAGGCTTGCGCAAATTCATCGTTGTTCGTCACAGCGCCCAGCACCCGATATTTGTCCATGGTATGCTCGTTGGTTAGCTCCTCCCAGTAGTGTTCCTCTTCGTAGGCTGCACACCACACTTGCGCAAATCCCAGATAGAAAAGCTGCTCCGGCGATAGATCCAATCCTGGCATTTGCTCGTTTTTCAATGAATACGTATCTTCGTCCTTTTGCAGTTGCTTAATGTAGCTGCGATACGCACTCAACGCCTCACGCAGTCCTCCACCATCGGCTATGTTCTCGTCCATTGTCTGATTGCCGTTGATCTTGCGATTGATTTCCGGTATCCGATAGCTATTATAGTGATTGACATAGCACTGTGCACGCTCATTGAACACGGCGCTCGACTTTTTCGACCACCAGTTGCGCGCATCACCCTTGCTGTCGTACCGGGAGCCAACGGAGTCGAAACCGTGTGTGAACTCGTGACCCACCAGATAGCCAATTGTGCCGAACTTCAGCGAGTTGGGCCAGGCCTTGTGATAGGCGGGTGGATGCAGTATGCCGGCCATTACATTGATGGAGTTGTCGACGTTATAATAGAAGGCATTCACCTGCATGCCCATCAACAGCTCCAATGGCTTAGTTGTGTTCGGCAACTGATTATAGTTATGGCCATTGTAACGCCTCATGAAGGTGCTGAAGCGCTTCAGTTCGACTCTGTTCTTGGCATAGTTTCCTGAAATTACGGTGAGATTGTTGATCTCGCGGATGAGACGCTCGGTTAAGTCGGGATCCTTGAAGCTACCAATGCGGGACTCAATAGTCGACTCTTTCAACAGCGCCTGCTCGCGTGTGGCCTCGTCCAGCCAGTCAGCATTCTCCAAGACCAGACGCAGACTCTTGCGCAGCTCATTGATGATTGCGGCGATTTCGGTGCGGGTTTCATCGGTGAAATATTCCTACAAGAGAAAGCGAAAAATGTGGATTAATAGAAGACATATTTTCAGAGCCAGTGAATTGATTTCTCTTCTACTTGCGCCCCCAATCGTTGAAAGGATTTATTTGGCGGATAAAGCGCCTTTTACTTTTGAATAGCATGATAAATTAGCTTCAGTTTGTTTACAAATCATGGCCATCATTTAAGACTTAGTGGATCAGCTAATGTGATAACAACTCTGAAGATGATTAAAAGCCTTATCCGGAAAGCGAAATCCCCTTTCTTTCAATCACATTCGCGTGAAGTTCCAGATATTATCAGAACAACTAATTAGAGAAAGATAACGAATTAGAAGAAAGATAGGACCTAACTAGCATGCTCGTATGAAAATCGCAGAGAACAACTACAAGTAACTCGTAATTTAGTTGTTTTTGTTACATACTTAGACAATCTATTTATCAATAGATTACGCAAAAATAAAAGTGCACATTCATTAAGGATCGGTCCGGTATAGAAATCAACACCTATACTTAGTATATCCAAAATTATTTTGTAACTTACCGCCAAATAAAGTTTGTCCAGCAAATAGGGTAACGAATACTGGACTGAGATAACGCAATGGTCCCGCTGATACTTGACATCCTTTAACTTGGCATCCATCTCATAGAGCAGCTTCATGGCCAGATAATTGGCCACAGCCGGCTTATGTTTCTCGCAAACTTTCGACAGTTCCACATAGAAATAGTCGCAGTACCGTTCCGGGGAGTACGAGCTAAAATTCTCGCCTTTCCACGCAATCTCGTAATAGCTCGGCCATTGCGAAAACTCTTCAATGCCCAATGTTGTCGTCATCACATCACATTTATCCGAATCCTCCTCAAAGCGATCACCAATTTCGAGCACATCGCGCCAGAATGCGAATACACCGCTTATTACTTCCGATATCTTGTCCTCCTCCAGAGCAAAGCAGCCCAAATAGTCGCGCATGCGCTTCTCATTGAGTTTGTAGCCACGCGTCGTATTCGTCTCGATGTTATCACTGTGCACAATATAGTCGAAGCCCAGTTCCGGTAGTTTGAAATACGGCGCAAATGGGAATTGCGGCAGAATCTCCTCATTTATGAGACCCTCTGCGCCATAGTTTGTCAAATGGGCGCTCATGTTAAACCAGCTGAAGTTCGCTGATTGCCAAGCGTCGTCTATGGCGGGGAAACCACCTACAGACCTAATAAGATCCAGATAGGCGGGGTCATCTGCCTTTAGCGGATAGAGATCGGCTGTGAGACAATCGTTATAGAACTGTTGAGCAATTCGCAGCTCTGAGCGATAATCTAAGCCGAGTTCATCGGCCGATTTGATCAACAGCTGCTCCACAGCATCCCCAAGTGAATAGACAATGTCTAGGAGATTGTTGCGCTTGTGCATCGTCTGCTTATCCTGCTTCACATTCCGCCAATTGCCGCAGGCGTACTCGTAGAAATCGTCGCAGGGCGACACACTGCGGTTCATGTAGGTCAGCATGCGAGCGGCATAGGTTTTTAAAAATTCGGCATTGGCGTCTGTTATTATATTATCATTAGTCTCTGCCCCAACGCCAACAGTATCAGCATCAATATCGTCTCTGCCGATGCCGATGCCGATGTCGCTGCCGCTGCCATTCTCGGCCTCTTCGGGTGGCGCTTCGGTCGACGCAGGCTTGGCTTCACACGTTGCCGATAAGGCACTTATAATCAAGAAGACGACAATGCCGCCCAATAGCGCGTTATTCACAATCACAAACATGTTGCACTTCATGCGCCGTGTACGTCTTTACTGATTTCTAAACGACTTTTCAAAATTGTCACTAAATTAAGAGCCGTAGTTGTCTATAGAGAGTTAATTTGGTTTTACGTCCATTGATCGATTTGAATTATATCAAAATTATGTCTGACGCGCTTTTGTACGCTACGCGTGTGTTCCATTCAGAATCCCATTTAGAACTGCGCACTGCTGGCTACTCGTAGCTGGCAATGAAAAGCCAAGATTTGCCAACATCCGAGTCTCGCGACTCTCCCTACACTTGCGCCTCATTAGAGCGTGAGCGTGCGCGACCCCATAATATATATTCATGTATAAGTACTTGTATACTCACTTATCACCAGCGTTAATTTACAAAAAAAAAATGCCGCTCACCGCCTTCCATATTCTTCAGATTTGGAAATACGTACGTCTGTAAGAGTACATCCACCGAACTTGACCTATGTTAAGCGATGCTGATAATGAGCAATGGCGCAATTCATTCGTCTAAGATATGACTCTGCAACAGATCCAAAAGCGCTTCAATACTATATACTCATACATAATACAATGTTATATAGTATGTAGGTGTGATTTTTATTTCGATAATGTGCTTTAGCTCTCAATTTATACATATCTGTTTATATATATAATTGTGCTGTTTGGATTCGAAGAAAAATGCTAGCGTATTCGCACAATCAGCAAACGTCAATCAAGAAGATCTTCGCGTGTTGAAGAATTATTGATTTGTCGTTATTATGTAGTTCCCAATCAACAAAATTGGCTAGAGTTAATCTCCATTTGATTTCTAGGCTGACATCGTTGGTTGCTGTGACGGTGGTGCCAAGATACATAAAATCTTTCACCATTTCGAAAGTATAGTTTTCCACCGCGATCTGGGAGTCTGGTTGCCGCGTGTCCCTGCTAGAGGAAAACATATACTTAGTTTTGCTCTCATTTATCACCAAACCCACTTTTGCAGCTTCCTTCTCAATAGCCGCAAATGCTCCGGTGACGCCTCTCCTGGTACGGCTGATAATGTCTATATCATCAGCGTACGCAAGAAGCTGAACGCTTTTAAAAAAGATCGTTCCGCCTCGGTGTACACCAGCTTTGCGCACCACACTCTCCAGCAGGAAGTTGAAGAGATAGCACGAGAGGGCATCGCCTTGCCTGAAACCTCGAACGGTATCAAAGGGTTCGGAGAGGTCCTTTCCTACCTTGACGGAGCTACGAGTGTTGCTCAACGTCATTCTGCAAAGTCGCACTAGCTTTGCAGGGATACCGAACTCAGACAGTGCGGCATATACACGTTCCCTCCTCGGGCTATCGAATGCTGCTTTATAATCGACGAAAAGATGGTGGGTATCGATTTGAAACTCATGGGTTTTCTCCAGGATTTGGCGTAGCGTGAATATCTGGTCAGTGGTGGATTTACCAGGCATAAAGCCGCACTGATAAGGCCCAATCAGTGCTATCGCAAATGGCTTTAGCTTATCACACACTACGCTTGATATGACCTTATATGCGACGGAAAGAAGGCTGATTCCACGATAGTTGGTGCAGACCGTGGGATCACCTTTTTTTAGGACGGGACATAGGACACCGAGATTCCAATCATCAGGCATGCTTTCAGTTAGCCATATTTTGCAGATGAGCTGGTGCATGCATCCTACCAACTCATCGCCGCCTGCCTTAAACAGCTCCGCAGGCAGCCCATCTGCTCCCGCAGATTTGTTATTTTTGAGCCGCTGGATGGCTGTTTCGACTTCGTCATGGCTAGGTGACGGTACTTCAATACCATCGTCGGCGATCGGTTCTGTGGGGTCATCTCCGCTGGCGGAATTGTTAACATCTTCGCCTGATAGAAGATTGGAGAAATGTTCCCTCCACAGTCTCAGTGCCGCTTGCCCGTCCACCACCAGATTTCCTTCCGAGTTCTTACAGGCTGACGCTGCGGGCTTAAAACCTTGTGTTAGACGCTTCACCTTCTGGAAAAATTTCCTAGCGTCGTTCCTGTCTCTACAAAGCTCCATCTCCTCTCGCTCTCGCTTTTCTTGCTCTCTCTTCTTGCGTCTAAAAAGCCGCCTCTCCTCCCTCTTCTTCTCCCGATATACATCATGCACAGCGCGCGTTGTCGCCGTCTGCAGGGTTCTTTTGTACGCGGCATTCTTCGCTGCAGTGGCTTCGCGGCACTCCTCGTCGTACCATTGGTTTCTCGGTAGCGGCTGTTGGAAACCAATGACATCTTCTGCGGCTGTGTGCAGTGAGCGGGAAATATGTGCCCAAAGTCCGCTACCAGTATCGGTTTCCGAGAACGGTTGAGAAAGCAGCTCAGAGAGTTGAGCGGAGTAAGCTTCGGCAGTCTGTTGTGCTAGCAGCTTTCCGACGTCTAGTTTTCGCTGCGTGTTGGGGCGTACATTTTTCGCCATGCATAATCGCATGCGGACCTTGGCTGCAACAAGTTGGTGGTCCGAATCAATATTCACACCACGGAACGTACGCACGTCCAGCACACTGGATGCATGCCTTCCATCTATCACAACATGGTCTATTTGATTTTTTGTCATTCGATCGGGTGACTGCCAGGTAGCTTTGTGGATATCAAGGTGTTCAAATCTGGTGCTACTCACCACCAGAGTAACTCTAGCCAATCGATGCTACTTCAGCCTCAGTAGGCAATTGAGTAGCAGAGACCTTTCCCGAAAAACCAAGCTAACGCTCTACAAGACGCTCATCCTCCCCGTGCTGCTTTATGGTGCAGAAGCATGGGTGATATCGCAGACTGATGCAGCAGCTCTTGCAGTGTTTGAGAGAAAGATGCTTCGGAAGATCTTCGGTCCCATACGCGTTGGCGACGACTACCGCATACGATGGAACAGCGAACTGTACGAGCTCTACGCTGACATTGACATAGTCAAGCGAATAAACATCCAGCGGCTAAGCTGGCTAGGTCATGTCGTGCGTATGGAAGAAGACGCCCCAGCGAAAAAAGTTCTCGATGCGGATGTTGGGGGGAGACGACGACGGGGGAGGCCTTGCCTACGTTGGAAGGACCAGGTAGAGAACGCACTTACTACCTGCGGAGTGACCAACTGGAAGCGACGCGCGCGAAGCAGAGGCGCGTGGAGAGCTGTGTTACGTCAGGTCATAGCCCGATAACGGGTTTGAAGTCCAGTCAAGAAGAAGAAGAATCAACAAAATTATTATTAAAAGAGTAAGGCATTATCAATGAATTGTTATTGAGTCCCTTCAAATAATAAATCAACTATTGTACTTTGCCTCTGGTGCCTATTCGCATTAGCAATAAGGTGTTAAATGTGCAGCTTAAACACATAAAAGAAAATACTGCCTAAACGAACAACTTTATATATGCCACACCAACTTTGCTGTTTTTAATGCAATTCAAGTTGTGTACTGCAACATTTATTATATGTTTTAAGTGAAATACAGAATAATAGCCGGCCTTGGCTGCAGAAACCCATCATTTTACTCGTATCGTGTTTATTCGGAGGCTCTTAGCCGCCACATTGCCTTTGTCATATTTTAAAAACAAGAGGCAGTTACATATACTGTTGCCGGTAGGTGGCGCTGAAATTTTTTTCACTGTACGATGGCGCAAATGTACTTTGCTGCCGCTAGGTGTTTAACTACTAACACTTTAGTTGGCAACACTCTTTTACGTATATATGTATGTACATATACTACACTCGATTATATTTTCAATAGCACATTTTTGTTGTTGTTTACTTTATGTATAGCCATAGGGCAATGGAGAATTATTTTTTCCAAATTTTGTTAAAAATAAAACTGCTGCGTAGAAAGGTAAGAACTCACAATAAGCACAAAAAATAAGAAATGTACATTTACGCTCACTTACAATGAAGCTGAACTTTGTGGTCGGTTTAAATATGATGTTTTCTGCAAGAGGTACTAATTGGATCGTATGATGTGTAAGTAAATACGTAAATAACTTTAAAAACCTAGGCCTGAATTCCTCCCTAGACGGGCATAAGTACTATATGAATTTTTCATAATAAATTATTGCCAAAATAATGTTTGATAACTTTGTCCTATGTGAGTTCATCTTTGTTATAATTTTATTAAATTTTTTGTTAGAAGCAACAGATGTGCCGGGGTTCTCCAATAAAATATCTGATGCGTTATTCACAAAAATGTACAAATGAAGCCTGGCCTCAAACATTTACTACAATATTCTGCGAAATCCAATAAAAAATCACCAAACATTTGGGAAACACCGCACACTGTCAATTAGCTGCCACCGAATGAGACATTAAAGTGGTTAGATGTTGCAAATTAATCATCGAACACAAATGTATGTATGCATGTACTTTCGACAGCATGTCACAACAACAAAAACAATCTCAATAACAATGCGACAAGCAATTTATGAATGAAATTCCAGACGGGTTTTTCTACAGATACGACTACTATACGTTCGTGCTCTTTAGGAACTTGTAGGTGAATGAGCGCTCAAAAAGCTGGCAGTGTGGTGTCTCTATGATGACTAAGCGGGACAGTTTAAAAATGTATAACAATATATGAGTTAGATCAAAAAAGTTTCTTAAGGAAAAATAGCTGGAATACAGATTACTACTGGATTATCTCATTTAAATAACAATTAACTTCTTCTGAAATATCAGCGAAAAGTGTTAAAAAATCTGAAAGTCTAGAAAAATTAATTCATTATAAATAATAATAATATTTGTATGAAAAAACAAATAGATGGTCTTTTATGAGCTTTGTAGACTTTGCTCTTATAGTATACGAGTAATTTTTCAGATTTTGCTTAAAGTTCATTCATTTCATCTTCAAGTCATTTCGATAGTAAGTGTAGTATTTGGTTCGTTATAGGGATCCACAACTGTAGTGCTGAAATAAATATGAGAGGTGCGCTTTTGCTTAGCTTGCGGCGTTTATTTTTCGATGCCTTTGTTGCCATAATGCCGTCGATTTGCGTTGTCAAGTAGTCTAGTCTTATCAGTTTACAGGTCTGTTTGCTCTGATCTGTGGCTGCAGCTGCTGCGCTTTGTAATTCCCTTTGTGAAGCAGCTGCGTTGAAAGAAAAAAATCCCCCTTGCATGGGTGACGTGCTCTATTTTTATGATGGGTATCATTGCTTTAATAGTACCCTAAAGTCTTCCAAACTGCTTATAAAAATATACGTGTACCAATATTTACGTTAAATTATTGTCATCAAATAAAAGTAAATCAAATGCCGCGATGAAATGATAAAAAATTTGCAGATAAATGTCTTTAGTATTTAAAGAAAAAATATCCCCCACGCTTATTTTTAAATATAGCATATATAGTAGATCTAATATACTTCATAGTATAATTTATATAATTCAAGAACTTGTTCAACATATTATAAGCTGCAGTAAAAAACAGAACAAGTTGATCAATTTATAAGTAAAGCATTTGTTAGTTTAAAGCTCAACTGTAGAAATGCATGTGGCACTGAGTAAATAAATGAATTTCTATTGCAAAAATCGTGGAAATTCTTTATAATCCTGCTCCATCCTCTTTGTGACTAGCTGCTTTTAATTACCATTAAGAACAGTTGCATTTGTTGTTGTTGTTGTTGTCTTACTGAAGTGCTTTCAGGCGCAAAGCCTTCTCAGTGGATATGTCGCATTATACCGGTTTGTGCGCTCCCAGATATGATATGTAGGCAGCCTCCTGTCGGTTGTAGCTGTCAGTCAGCAGTTAATTCGAGCGATTTTATTTACATTGCACCAGAGCCAGCAACAACAACAACCACAACAACAACAGCAGCAACAAAAACTGTATAGACAGCAAACCGGAAAGATACACGGAACCAGCTAAAATGTTTGGTTTGGTGGTTGGGATGGGAAAGAGCTTTGCATTTGATTTGGAGCTGAAGTCAAGACCCATAAAGCGTTTGTACTTGTTAAGGAAATTAGTGGCATATCCTGGCAATGCGCACATTCACGCCACAGCGCATCCCTCGCCTGCTAGTTTAATTCATTTGTTGTCTATTGTTGTAAAATAAGTTGTTGTTTTTTTATGGTGGAAATTAAAGCCACCCAACCACCAACCGGTGGTTGATATGGCATGTGTATGCATGTACTCGTATGTGCGTGAGAGAAGTGCGTGTTTTAGAATAGATTTCAGTTCAAATACTAGGCGTGTACAGTTGTGCTCGCTGGCGTTTGACTTCAACGGCAATTGTGGCAAATTAGTTCGAGTCAATCAAATAATTAACATTTATAACAAAAGAAAATAATCTTCACAGGGAATGAAATTTACCTTACCACTAAATTGGACGACGTGCTTCGCACAAGTGGTAAAGGTTCTAATATTCCAATATTTGTAGATAGTCAACACTTTCCAAGGAATATTTAAAAAAATAATATGAACTTCAACATGGCATACATTTTAGGCGCTTTCAGCTAGTTTATGACTATTTCTTTAACTTTTCAGCGACGTTGTTTTACTAATTATATATACTTGTACTAATTATATATAATAGTATAAATTATACATAAAGGATAGCACTTTGTTTGATTGCCAATAGGTTTTTTATACAATATAGCTTATAGCTTATATGCATAGTCTAGGAACAATAGCATGAGCTAACAGAATCAAGAAAGATATAATAATATCTTAAGCAATGTTTTAACGATTTTTTGATGGTTTCTTCATAAAACCCCGAAGCAGCTATAATTTGAGAAAATATACCTAAAAATTATCCCATTTCTAAAGAAAATAGCTCCTTTGCTTACAATTATAAAAACAAATTTTCAAAAATGTTCTTGGCGACTATTTTTGAACCTACTTTCAATCGAACTTTCTCTCTCTCTTTCCTCACAGTAGGTGATTTTCTAGAACCAATAACCAACACGACTGGGAGAAGGATCATAGCTTGCCAACCTGTTTATTAAACCTTAACCCCCCATCGGATCAATGATGAGGGCTTTTGAACCTTTTCCAAGGGAATCTGGACCCGCGCATGGCTGCGGTTTGAGATAAAGCTTGCCCGACTGGCTTATACCTCTTCGGACATCGCTTTATTGGCTAGAACAAGAAGACGAATTATTTTTTAAAACTTGTTTCAATTATTTGTTTATTTCTTGAAGTTTAATTAGTTATGTTTGCTTACCATTTGTAATGTTATTACTGTTTCAATTTAATTTGATGCCAATACATATACAAATTGCATATCATATCGCATTATAAAATAATGCTACTCACTTGTTACTTTGTTATTTATCAAATTATTATTCAAATAATTGCAAATAAACATTCTTAATATGCCAAACAACTTCCATACATAGTATCCTCTAATCAGCGAGTTACCAACAGGGTTGTTTGTGTCCAGAGCATTATTCCCATAAACTTCCACCATTTGCACAAGTGTAAGAGCTCCCTTGATAATAGACCTTGTGCCACTGGGCCTCTGCGCCCTTTTGCCCTGCCCCGCTCTGCCCTGCCCTCGGCTGCTGGTCATTTTGATGGGAAAACACATTTAAATGTCAAAACACTTGTGAACCTTTTCACTTACAACCATGCAAGTTTGTAAGTGAAACCACTGCCATTGCCACCGGGTCATGTGCATATACGAGTATCTATGTATATTTGAATGTATGTGTGTGTGAATTGTGTAATTTGCTCTGATTTACTTACATGTGTGGCATCCTTCGTATTCATATTCCCCCTGCATGCGCCACGCGACACGTGACCACAAAGTTTACATTAAATTATCAGAGCGCTTTGAGAAAATAGTTTCAACAGCACAACAAAAACAAAACATGGCCAAAATTGATGAGAATTTAAATGCACGCAAAGAAAATGAAGTCGATGTCGTCGACTTCTAAAATATCAACCCAAAAGATTCCCCTCCAAAGTGTATTTGTTTTAGATCTGATTTGATTTAAGAAAATCATAGCAGTTACTCGTATGGCCAATTTGTAAAGCCCGCAACGACCATAGAGCAATGTTTTCCCGAAAACGATATGCGTGGACTCCGAAAAAAGTCTCCTCATAAAATATAAAACAATCTAATTCTCGCTTTTTTTTTCTTGACCTCGGGTCAGTTAAAGAACGTCAAAGATTCAAATCCTTACTAATTTACATCCAAATCTCAGCTTCTCTAAATGCATGAGGCGTCAAGTCACGGTCTTAAATTATATTTGTTAATTATTTATACCTTTCCACTACAAACATTTTAAAATGCATCACAGTTTCAGCTAACAAATGATGTCTCCTGCACTTGGTTAACATTTCATAGATTCCTTACGTACTCTTAAGTTACTTAATTTGTTCTCCATAAATAGTGACTGGCATATCTTCAAACAATGGCGATCACAACGGCTTTTATCTCTGTCATCATCTCAACTTTGTAATCATACTGCCCAAAACTTAAATCTATGTACTTATTAACACATAATGCTTCTCTCAATTCAAAACTTTCATCAAAAAAGTATTTTTAAATATATTTTATTCATGAATATTCATCTATTCATCTATAGCTATCTGTTAAGATCAATTACAAATTCATTTTGTATTAATTCACATTTTTTTACCATTATATTTCTGGATTTATAGTTAATTGACAATACAATTATTTTTAAATTAGTATAATTTGTTTAACTGTTAAATAAATACATTCATAATAGTAGTAGACCTCTACTATACAGAAATATAAAGAAAATAATATGTGTCTTTAGTCCAACATGATTTCATGCAATTTCTTATAAAACCTGGACTCTTTATTTCTCCAAAAATCATTTTTAGCCGACTAATATTATCGAAACTGTAGAATAAACACAATAAATTAGCATTGAGAGTTATAAAATATGTGGATCCATCTATTTCAACTATTATACGGTATAGCTGGTATATAATATTTTCTCTTCCCCCTCTTTCTAAAGAAACTACTTTTTAATTATTTCTTATTTATTTTAGTGACTTGTAGTACTTGGATATGCATCGAATATTTAGAATAATCTAAGCTATGTGCACTTTTGAGAGAAATGAGTCATAGCCGTTGAACACGAATTTCGTTCAATCAATCAATTAAAATGCTGCGACAGCTATGCTTGCCAAATGAGTCCACAAGAAATGTATACATACATACATATATAACAGAGCTGTGCACATCTCGGGGATCCCACATACAATATGTACTTTCTTCTCTGTATGGTTTCGGCGAATAAAATCCCCGACTTGCTTTGTTTCTCCCGCTCAGTAGATCACCGGTGAGGCCTTATCATCGCCAGCTTGTTCTGTCGCCACGCTATAAAAGCTTCGCACATTGCCGAGTCAAGGCATCAGTCAACGCTCAGCAACAGCAGCAGAAGCAGCTTTATTTCAATTCTACCTAAAACCACCTCAAGGAATACTCCAAAACTCAATATGAACTTCAACAAGGTTTTCGTTTTCGTCGCTCTCATCTTGGCCGTCTTTGCTGGCCAGTCCCAGGCTGGTTGGCTCAAGAAAATTGGCAAGAAAATTGTAAGTACTCGAACATCATTCTCTCTATATGGTATCCAATAATAATTATTTCTTTAAATTTGTAGGAACGTGTTGGCCAACACACTCGTGATGCCACCATCCAGGGTCTGGGAATTGCACAGCAGGCAGCGAATGTGGCCGCCACGGCCAGAGGTTGATGCAACTAATCCTCATTCTGTGTACCATAATATGTATTTATTTATTTATTAATATTTTGACCTAAGTTTTGGAAATAAATTGAAATTAAATTTCACTGATAACACATTTTCCCATTTTTGTATTTAGTTGTTTCAAAAAGAATGTGTGATGCATCTTGTAAGATTTTTGTATCAACCAAAATCATATTCAAAGTAAATTTGAATAATAAATTAATAGATTGATGAGAATAACTGCGCAAAGGCAGATCTGCCCAGATACGTATGTAATATACTTTTTGTCAAGTGTATTCAGGTTTGCCAGAGACTCGAATTGAAATGCACAGTTCCTCTAATTACAAGGCGTCTATCGACTTATGACAAGTCGCTTGGGAAATTTAGGGCTTGGTCGCAGCTTTGTGCGTCTTTTTAATGCCTGCGGCATGAAAATTCAAGGCACATGCTACGCATTATTGACAGCTTAAGTGGAGTATTGGAAGAGAATGCTGCCAGGGAGTCAATCATTCAATATTTGGCGCTCTGATTAGAAAGCACAAATGACAGTACGGCCGCCGTGCCTTGGGCTGCCTGTCAAATCATTTGAATAATAATAAAGATCAGCCTTTGTCTGTTCGCATAATTTATGCATTGATTTGACCCCCGACCGAACAGAATATCACATAATATATTTTAAATTACAAAATAAAAATCGACACAACCATACACATCTTGCTCGCACATCTAATTTAACAACTTCCTGTCGCCCGTTGCGCTGATTGTAAAATTTTACGTAAGCCGCGCACAAATCCTGGAAAATCATTTGTAATCTGCGAGTGGAGCCGGCGGGGTGGCGAGCGCATCAAAATCCAGCAACACTCGAAAATATGTTCAAAATTTTAATATGCGTCGCAGTTATAAGGCGCCGCTCCGAATACGAGTATGTGGACCCCTGCGGCTGCTGGGAGCACTTCAGAAATCGTTTACAAGCCATTGAGAAGCCGCCGATGTATCAATAATATTTGCTCAGGCCGCTTCAAAAAGGTGGTGAAAGTTATTTTTTAAAATATTCGCCAGCAAGTTGGGGGTTGTGCGCACTGCATTAAGCCAAAAATAATGTTTGACTTAATTCCTTTTATGGCTCAATATAACCATTATTCGCACTACTCGAGCCAGCAGCGGGCCAACCACGACCACATAATGAGCAAATTTAAATTCAATTCGCTTTTCACAACTGCCGTGGGTGCAAAAATGTTTACAGAGTGCAACGCCCCGTGTCAGAAACAAGCGTCGCATCGCTCTAAATTTACAGACTTTGCTGGCTCCTTAGCGACTGGTTGTGTACAGGATCTAGCTGCGAATTAGACTTTCTTAGCACTTCAGGCATCATCATTTCATTTGCATTGTGTTTAAAGTTTGGAGCGTGATTTATCATTTTTAAGCGGCTATAATCTGTTTGGGAAATAATTTTTTTATTGCTGCCCGTCAGCAAATGTTGTCATGGCTGTTAGTGCTTTTTTAAAGAAGGGGGTGGGGTTTAACTGCACATAAAAATCTGAAAGTGTATAGATTTTTAGTTATTTAATAAATCGCACACTGAGAAAACCTTGTCGTGTCAATTGGTGGTTACAGACACTTTTATTTCAATTCAATTGTCTATCTTGAATATCACATACATACTATGTTCCCAGCAAGAGTCATTCAACGGATGAGGCTGCTGGAGGCATTCCCTATGCGCTGCGACTAAAAGAGTCACCGGAATAACACATCTCTGCTATCCGTTATTCCATTTATTGAATGACTGCAAACAGTTCGATTGTCATTGGCAGTGCACAGCCATCTTCAATGAATCCACTTATTTAAAAACAAGCACTAACAGCCATGACAACAAACAAATACAAATATATATATAAATATAAATACAAGCAATTTATTTCCAAATCTCAGTTCAAAATATTAATAAATAATTAAATACATATTATGGTACACAGAATGAGGATTAGTTGCTTCAACCTCTGGCCGTGGCGGCCACATTCGCTGCCTGCTGTGCAATTCCCAGACCCTGGATGGTGGCATCACGAGTGTGTTGGCCAACACGTTCCTACAAATTTAAAGAAATAATTATTATTGGATACCATATAGAGAGAATGATGTTCGAGTACTTACAATTTTCTTGCCAATTTTCTTGAGCCAACCAGCCTGGGACTGACCAGCAAAGACGGCCAAGATGAGAGCGACGAAAACGAAAACCTTGTTGAAGTTCATAGTGAGTTTTGGAGTATTCCTTGAGGTGGTTTTAGGTAGAATTGAAATAAAGCTGCTTCTGCTGCTGTTGCTGAGCGTTGACTGATGCCTTGGCTCGGCGATATACGAAGCTTTTATAGCGTAGCGACAGAACATGCTGGCGATGATAAGGCCTCGCCGGTGATCTACTGAGCGGGAGAAACAAAGCAAGTCGGGGATTTTATTCGCAGAAAAACTACACAAAGCATACAGACAATAAATGTAAATGTTGTATAAAGCTATTCTGCCTCATATATGTATGTGGACTGGATGGAGCTGCTGGAGGCATTGCCTATGCCATTGCTGCTGGGGCTTAGAATTTTACGCTCGTCGTATGAGGCGTCTAAAGAGGGCACCGGGATCTCTGCTATCGGTTATTCCATTTACTGAATAATTGCAAACATAGAAATAGTTAGATTTTCATTGGCAGCTCGCAATCATCCTCAAAGAATCCACCTCTTTCGAAACAAATATGACAACAGACTCGTACACTTGCGAGCAGCAACGAACAAAATTAGTCCTTAAGCTGATTAAAATATTAAACCACGCTGCAAACACAATGCAATTGTATAATTATTTCATTTTATTTCAAAATCTTTAAATTTGTACTGCATTCTATACAAAAGTTGCTGTGAAGACATGAAGTTGAGAATACATGTATATACATACAAGTATATATATATTCATATATAATTGCATACGCACGGGAAATCTATGAAGTTGATTTCGCGGGCAGCAGTTCAAACGTCGATTTCATCGAAGGTTGTGCATTTATGTCTCTTAAAAATGGTTTTGATTATACCCAAAAATTATTTATAGTTACGATGATTTTCGAGTTAACAGAAATATTAGACTGGATAATATAAAATTAATAAAACTTCAAAAGTCAACTCAGTCGCGTGTCTTGCAGAATATTTATTGTGTCGAAATAAATTATTTCCTAATACTTAGTAATCAAATAGAGCAGAATGCTTTCACGATTAAACTTCAGCTGGTTGTATATGAAATATTTTGATTCGTACAGAGATCAAAAGATTATAACTTCGTCAAAAGCATTTGAAAATACAATATTTTAAATAAATTCTTCGCCAAGAAATGGCTGCTCGTTTGCATTCAAATCGAATGCTATCTATTCGTTTTCATCTAGCAATTCATTTAAAGAAGAATCCATATGTGTGCCTTATCTGCCTCACACGATCTATATCTGATCTCAACCCAAATGCCACTTAGGGGCATTCGTCTGGAAGTAGACAGCAATTCAATAATTTTCATTACTAAAGCTATTTTTTCACCCAATGTCAGGCAGGGTCCAACGTGCAGTTCAATGCATAAACACAATGCGCGTGATGGCACAATAAAAATGTTTTGTAACTCGGGGATACATATGGATATACATATTCGTATATACGCGTAGTAGTCAGCAGAAAACAATTTCATTTACGCTAGAAATGCGCCCAAAAAGCGATTCAAAATCTGTTGTCATACATACATATGTATACGAGTATGTATTTATTAAATTGTTGCAACGGATTGCCTTCGTCTATAGCTGTACGAGTATCTGTATCTGTGAAGGGGTGAATGGGTGAATGGGGTGAAAGTTCGCAGCCAGGGTCCTGGGCCACCTTTATTAATTCTGACAATGTAATGCGCTTGTGATGGCATCGTCAATGCCGGTAATAAATCTCGCCAGCGCATATACGCACAAAAATCCTTTCGATGGCATATTTCTGAAACCGAAATCCTGCGACAAGTAGACAACGGCAGGCAATTCGATTGTGTGTGTGTGCCTTCAGGCGCCGCAAACCGAATCCAGCTCATTTTTCATACTCACCCATACTCACAAATATAGCATTTCACATATTCGTTTTCGCATTCGTCGGTTAGTTCGTTCATTTGTGCGTGCTCTGGAAAAAAGAATCAACAAAAATATTTCGCAAATTGAATTGTTTTGCATTGTTGTCGCGATCCTGTGCCTGTGCCTGAGTCCGAGCCCGAGCCCGAGTCTGAGTCTGGCACTTGGCTCTGGTCAGTTCTCTTTTTCTTTCGTTTTATTATTTTACCGTGCGTGGAGAAAGCACTCTGTTCGAAATATGTGGAGTGCTTCGCCACTTTTGTGTGTGATTTATAACGCGTTTAGAATTTCCCTTGTCTGTGTCTGCCACAAAAATGAAATTAGAGGCGCATAGATAGGTATAGACTAACTACACATCTCTTGTCTACGAATATATGCAGCAAAAAATGTTAGCATAAAACAGCTCTCGACTGAAAGGACTTTAAGAAGAGATGAAAAGTTTAACCTCGTCAAAAATATCATATTTAAACATCTTAATTAAGCATAGGTGGAGATTAACAGAATTGGGTGTATATATATTATAAAAAGAAAGCAACTAATATTTGATAATTTGTAGAAAAGCAGCACACAGAAAACTTAAATCCTTCTTCTTCAGAATGAATTGTAAATGCATTGCAAGATAATACACTACAAATTATACGTCAAAAGGCCTCTAAAAAGTTTAGCATTTTGTTGCAGAATTAGAAATGTGTATAGACTTACTAAAATTGGAAAACAAACAAAAAATTCGGCAGGGTCATTTAAGTTTTTAAACCTAATAAACTTGAAGAAAAGATGCAACTTTTAGAAAATATTAACATACTTGTATATTATTAGAAAGAATAACTGAACAGGCAGAAAATATGGCAATTTAAATAAAATAAACTATTTATTTTTGAAAAATGTTTCATTTAGAAACAGATTAATTTTCATTCATTTTCACCATCATCAATGAATCCACTTCTTTAAAAACAAACACTAACAGTCATGGCAACAAACCAAACTGATTAAAGTATTAA